TTTGTAAGTTATATTTTTGGTGATCATGATTATGGTGACTCAGTTGTGGCAGTTGTTTGGTTTAGCTCTAATCTTGGTCTTTAGGTCCACTATAAATTGCATAGGACTTAACAATCAAGCCGTATTTATTAATAATAGCAAGCTTTGGGCCAGTGTTTAACTTTTGGAGTACAATTCATTCAAGCATTTCCCTCCACTTGCCAGCACTACTATTAACCAGCCTGGATTTCTGCTACAGTGGTGCGAGATGCACAGAATAGATTACACTCTTTTCAGGCGAGATCAAACTCCAAACATAACATGTTTCATGTGCACAAAACAAAACAACATAAAGTATTAAAAGCTTCACAAACTAAGTGTGGATGGTCCCCTATGTTTTTACTACCACCCTTGTTTTAATCTATCACAAATACAGTTAGAAGCATGTGGGCTGCAGCAGGGAGGGAGTGATGACTGGAAGAGTGCATGGTTGCTCTCCTCCTGATAAGTATAGTGGGTTTGGTGGTTATAGTGTGTATGGTGGGTTCAGTGATTATGGTGGGTATGGTGGATATAGTGAGTTTGGTGGTTATGATGAATATGGTGGGTTTGGTGGTTATGATGGGTATGGTGGGTTCGGTCGTTATGATTGATATGGTGGGTTTGGTGGTTATAATGAGTGTGGTGGCATTGGTGGTTATGATGGTATGGTGGGTTCGGTCGTTATGATTGATATGGTGGGTTTGGTGGTTATAATGAGTATGGTGGCATTGGTGGTTATGATGGGTATGGTGTGTTTGGTAGGTTTCATGGATAGAATAGGTTTGATGGTTACAATGGTATATGGTGGGTTTGGTGGTTATAATGGGTATGGTAGGTTTGGTGGTTATAATGGGTATGGTAGGTTTGATGGTTACAATGGTATGGTGGGTTTGGTGGTTATAATGGGTATGGTGAGTTTGGTGGTTATAATGGGTATGGTGGGTTTGGTGGTTATAAAGGGTATGGTAGGTTTGATGGTTACAATGGTATGGTGGTTTGGTGGTTATGATGGATATGATAGGTTTGAAGGATTTGGGGGGGTTATTGGTTATGATTATATACTACATCAACACAATTTGAATCAAGCAAATTCAAAGCAACATTTTTTAGTGTATGGTGCATATGGTGGGCTTCATGGATATGGTCAGTGAGGTAGATGTGGTGGCTATGATAGAGTATGATGGTGGCCCACTGCAAAAGAATAAAGTCAGGCTGCCTGCATGTGAAGACACTCCTTTGACTCCATCTTTATCATTGTTTCCACATTTTTTATCTATGGATACTGACCAGCTTTATCACTTTATCTATCTATACCGATCAGCTTTGTATGACTTTATCTATCTATACTGATCAGCTCCATAGCTCTTTATCCATCCATACTGACTAGATCTATAGTACTTTATCCATCCGTACTGAAAAGCTCTATAGCACTTTATCCATTCATGTTGACCAGCTCTATACCACTTTATCAATCCATACTGACCAGCTCTATACCTCTTTATCCATCAGTACTGACCAGCTCTATAGTACTTTATCCATCAATGCTGACCAGCTCTATCATTATCCATCCATACTGACCAGCTCTATAGCACTTTATCAATCCATACTGACCAGCTCTATAGCTCTTTATCCATCCATACTTACCAGATCTATAGTACTTTATCCATCCATGCTGACCAGATCTATAGTACTTTATCCATCCATACTGACCAGATCTACAGTACTTTATCCATCCATACTGAAAAGCTCTATAGTACTTTATCCATTCATACTGACCAGCTTTATACCACTTTATCAATCCATACTGACCAGCTCTACAACTCTACATCCATCAATACTGACCAGCTCTATAGCATTTTATCCATCCATACTGACCAGCTCTATAGCACTTTATCCATCCATACTGACCAGCTCTATCATTATCCATCCATACTGACCAGCTCTATAGCACTTTATCCATCCATGCTGACCAGCACTATCATTACCCATCCATACTGACCAGCTCTATAGCACTTTGTCCATCAGTACTGACCAGCTCTACTTTATCAATCCATACTGACCATTTCTATAGCACTTTATCCACCAGCCTGCTGTGTTAGGGTTCAGGCCCAATGTGAAGAAATGAGAATATTTCCCACTAGCTCTGTGTTAACACTCAGATATGATTAACGTAGACTAGTGGAGATACACACACACACACACACACGCACGCACGCAGAAAGAGAGAGAGAGAAGGTTCCCGATATCATGTTGTTATATTCAACATTATTATTATTATTATTATTATTTTTACTATTATTATTGTTATTTATTATCAATATTATTAATGCATCGTCATCATCATCATTATTATTATTATGATTAATGCTTGATAATTGTTACTATAAAGCAATAATAATAATAATAATAATAATATTTATAATAATAATAATAAAAATAATAATAATAATAAGTCTTTGTTGTTGTTTGCTATTGCAATACATTACTTTGACCCGAAATTAGACTATTAATCCAATGCTCCGCTATTTCTGTTATCTTTGTGGGAAGTTAATTTATTTTCATTTTTAACGTTACAAATTTTGATTTATACTTTTGGACACGAGGCCCATAAAGCGATTAGAATTATGACCGAAACGAACAGGAAACTGCCTGTTCGAGCCTAAAACCAAATCCACAGTGATGTGACACATCAGAGTGATTTTACAGAGCCATTCATTAGCGTCTTTTGTGCAGCTGCAGCTCCGCGTAACCTCTGCACATTTAACTGTACAGTGAAGGTTAAACATGTATCAAATGTTCTACATTCTAGAAATTTCTATTTTACTATATTGTAAAAAAGAAATAAATGAAACAACCAAGAAACGTAGACTCGTTTAATTCAGTGCTACTGACCCCCCAAACATTTTGTTATTTTAATTTAAATTAATGTTTTAAATCTTCTGTAACAAATTAGTCATAAACCGCTGTTCGTTTCTGCGAGTTCCTACAGAAGAGATCTCATAGCTGCTGGCTGTTTACAAACCATTTCTGGAACGTGTCTGACATGTCAGACAGTGTTTAACACGTCTGATACAAGCTTCTTTTAATACCGCGCTTGCCATATTATTCTCTTATCAACGTTTTTTTTGCATTATCTCTCAGATCGCACAGGTAGAGATAAAATGAAACATATCAAACCGACCCGTCTCCACCAATTAACCATTTAAAGCGCGAGCTAGAGAGCGGAACTGAAAGTTGAGTTTGTGCCACTCAGGCGAATAGAGACCTGTACGGATCTGGCTTCTCTCTGCAGAGCTGGAGAGAATCAGTCCACTGCTCCAGTCAGCAGCTCCAAAAAGCCAGCAGATATCATCTGATCAGCTCCACACACACACACACACACACACACACACACACACACACACACAGCATTTCACCAAACCTAACCTGCAAAGTTCACCAAAGGCCGCATATTATGGACGACACAGCTCACACGCTTTTGTCCCTTACCTGTCCGGAATGGAGACAGACAGATCCCAGCTGTGTTTTCGCGCGAGCAGAATTCAGTGAGAAAAGCCGGGGCGCGAGCAGCTGGCCGTGTTCGTGGAGAATGGCGAACCAGGCCGCTCGTGCACTTTTTAAATCCCGCAAAGTAAATAACAACCCTGGCAATAATAGCAAGGTACCCAGCTCTGCTTACAGAAAAGGGAGAAAATTGAAACTAAACGCTGCATTTAGGCCCCCATTTTTGATAAGAGGATAATTGAGGCGACACTGGCGTATAATTAGCGGATAATTTATGCTATATCCACTTTTATTCCACCTCCGAAAATAAACTTGGTCCATAATCATTACAGGCGAATTGTTCTTAATTTTATTGAGGCAATTTGAATACAGTGGAGCGGGCAATCAAACGGGATTGGGATAGAACTGATTGCGACTATAATTACTTTTTCATCACCATTTAAAGCAAATGAACGCCATATTACGAAAGTAAACGTGTTCGCCATAAAAATAAAAGGATGTGAAATGGGAATGGAGAGAGAGTTGTAGTGTGTATTTACGGCGTGCTTTCTAATGGGGATCGAGATTGGCCAAACCACTAAACTGAAGGTGTAATTTACATATATTTTCGACTGTAACGAGCTCCTGATTGCGATGGGGGGAAAACGCTGTCAGTTAGCCGGGACATCCAATGACACAAGCTTGGACTGTAACTTAATTAATTACGCACTGTAGTCCAGCAGGCCTGGCGCAATTAAGCAGCTAATAACTGTAGCTCGGTTGATTCTGAAGCTGTTCAGGTTACTCTCATGATCATTGATCTCGCGCTATATTAGAAATAAAAACAATTACAGCGCGACTCCTATCACCCAGTCAGCAACTCTCTGGCTCATTAGCCCAAGCTGATCAAGTCGGTGTGACTTGTCGTTCCGATTACGGCACCGAGCTCGCGCGCGTGTGTAAAAAGGCGCGTTTGGTGGTGATTGTGTAGTGAATGTGTGAGGGATATCCCACCCATAGCCCCGGCTGCGATGGCAGCTGTTAAGGTAGGTTAACTCGCTCTAAAGTCTCAGCTAAGCCCGGAGCTGATGACGTTGGGTTGAATGGCCAATCGGAAGGCGCTGCCCTTTGGAGACAAAACCATTTTACTTGTAGTGTCTGCATCAAGTCTGCAAGCAGGGACTCAAATTTAACAGAATCCACCTTAAAATCTCTGCCTTTACTCAAGCCCACCTTCCGTCATAGCTCGCGAGAAAACACTGGAGGAGCAAAAAAAATTTAAAAATAAAACAACAACAACACCAACGAACGAGCGAAGATTTTTGGAGTAATCAGCGGCGAAATTGCGTAAACAAGGAGCGCGAAAAAGGGGATCGCTACAAAAACAAGGACCTCGTTTGGACTTGAGAGAGAGTGAAGGTGTGTGTGTGTGTGTGCGCGCGTGTGTACGATTGTGTGTGTGTGTGCGTGTATGTGTATGTGGGGTGGGGGTGGGGGGGTAAAGTGCTCTCGAGGCAGCAAATTTGATGATGACCATGAGTACGATGGCTGACGGTCTGGAGGCTCAGGACTCGTCCAAATCGGCGTTCATGGAGTTTGGTCAGCAGCAGGCGCCCTCGCAGCAGAGCTCGCCGTCGGTGGGCGCCGGCCACTACCCGCTGCACTGCCTGCACTCCGGCGCGCACCAGCAGCAGCACGACGGCTCGCCTTACTCGGGCTCCGGCTCGTACAACCGCTCGCTCGCCTACTCGTATATGAGCCACCCGCACCACAGCCCCTACCTGCCCTCCTACCACAGTAACGCGGCCGCGGCGCACACCAGGTTAGACGGCACAGGTAAGAGAGCCTTTCCCGTCCCTACACCTCCACCAGCCGGAGCACTTTCGCTTTCTTTCGCTGTTTGTTTTTACTTTCATTAGACGCCAGAAACAAGTACTAGTGCAGTAGCGTTTGCTCGAACTCGGTTGTACGCAGTTGTTGCTCGTGTGCACAAGAGAAATGAATGAGAAAATGAAACGCGGATGAGGAGCTGTGAAGGCGCCTTACCGCTGTTATTCCTTTGTGTAGTTGTGCAGGTAAGGTGGCTTTAGCGCTGCTGTCCGTGCATCCACGTCCGCTCTAATGACAGTGATGGAGTTACACGCGGGCCATTCTCCCCATCACTGCAAATTATAATTAGCATCTGATTTACTGGCTCTTGTCGAGTCCTTACATGCACTTTCTTACATAGAAAAGAAGATGGATTTGTAATCTTCCCTGATAAATCGATCTATTTCCTTTTTTCCTTTTTCTTCTGATATTATATATCAGAATTTGGTAAAACAGCCAGTTGTAGTCCATTTTATGTTTGCTAAGTCTCAAGACCCACAAACTTTATTTTCTTCCCAAATCCAAATTAAGCGTAAATCTAGACTTCAAAGGTTTTTCCACCATTGATATTACAATTTACTCCAAGACAGGCTTTATTTATTGTCTAGGAAACGGTACTAAAAGTATAATAATAGTGTTCTCTGGACAGATGCCATAGTAGAACCTTTCACTGTTTTGTAAATGTGAGAGTGACGAACCTTTTTAAAGTGTAAACAACTTCCACATAACGTGAAGATTTCTTAACAATTAGGTCAAGAACCATTTGGGAGCATTTATGTGTATGTTTTAGAGATTATAAAAAAATCTTATTAGATTCTCCCACCAACATGCCGTTACCTCTTCCAGAGCAGCAGAAAACAACAGTGATTGAAAACGGAGAAATACGGTTCAACGGGAAGGGCAAGAAGATCCGCAAACCGCGGACCATCTACTCCAGTTTGCAGCTACAGGCTCTGAACCACCGCTTCCAGCAGACCCAGTATCTCGCCCTGCCAGAACGCGCGGAGCTCGCCGCCTCCCTCGGCCTCACGCAGACACAGGTACCATCTGACAAACGCCATGGTGGGCTGCTAATGTACATCCATGCAGAATAACACAGTATTTAAATGCAATTCCAGCTTAGATGTAGGCTATAATTTGGTTTGATTTTTTTAAGTGTTGTGTTAAATAATAACACACCTACTTGTGTTGCCTGTTTTAGGATTTTTGTGTCGTATTGTTTTATGATTTAATACACTCTGTTAAAAGTAGCACAAAATGTGCTGTCCGTAACTGGGCACAGAAATATTTTAAATATTTCAGTATTTTATTTTTAACACAAAATGTGTTGTCTCCAATTGAACACACTGATGTGTCTGGTTAGAGACAGAATGTGTTGTTCTAACACGTCTGTTTTAGGAGTGTAAAGCCTTACAGCTTTACGGTATATTATACTGAAAAAAACGTGCTTTGGGTTTAAATGAATCAAATTTGTTAAATATTACATACACTGTTACATCAATACAGTTCCTGCCAAAAAGACGTAAACTAAAGATTTATGCAGTTGTGTTGATGTAGCGCGGTGTGTTGATCTGCGACCTACTGACACGTTGAATTGTGTCAAATTATTATTTATGTATGTAAATTTGAATCGGGTTTTTATTCATATATCCTAGGCTGCTCTGTACTCCTCATAGGCCCTGACTGTATAGTAAACTCAGACCTTGTTTTGGCTTCTTCTAGGTAAAGATCTGGTTCCAGAACAAGAGGTCGAAGTTCAAGAAGCTGCTGAAGCAAGGCAGCAACCCCCACGAGAGCGAGCCTCTGCCGGGCTCCCTCGCGCTGTCCCCGCGCTCGCCGGCCATCCCGCCCATATGGGACGTGTCTGCGTCCTCCAAAGGTGCGAGCATGTCCGCCAACAGCTACATGCCCGCCTACTCCCACTGGTACTCCTCTCCTCACCAGGACTCAATGCAGAGATAGGCTGCGCGCGCCCGGCCAGGCCCCAGGCCCACCTGCGCGCCCTCCTTCAGTCCTACCTGAGCGGTGACAGCCGCTGCCGCTGGAGAACGGTTCGTTTCTGGAGAGCGCTTCTCCCGCTGGAGGATAAGCGGACACGGCGGGACCGAACTGCTCGAACCGAGACGATGCGGCCCGGACTGGATTTTTTTTTTTTGCTTAAAAAAAACATCCGCTGTTGTATCTGTTGACTCTTGAACCAAACGCGTCCATCACCAGCATGGGGCAGGAGCGGGGACGCCTTTCGCAAAGCCCCATGGGTCATGACTGAAAACGATGAACTCTGATTTAAGACGAACAAAAACAAAAAATTGCGCACTTTTCGTTATGACTACATGTTTTTCGTCATGCAAAAGGAAGCAATTTGTCTGTAAATATCTTGTCCAATTTTAGTTGTAAAATACTTTTTATGTTTTTGTCATAAATGGAGTAAACCATGGCTTCAAAACAGTGCGTGCTTGAATTTTTTTTTTTAATAAATTTGGGCAAATATTCAAAATTGGCGACTCACTGGCGGACTTTTATACATTTCAGGTTCGTTGTTAAAATAATCCTTAAACTCTACATTGTCAGTCGCGCTGCTTAAAACCTTTAGGATTCAGGACATTTAAAACGACTTTTAATTTGGTTAATATTTGGAAACGAACGTTTGAATTTCACGCGCTATACGTGCGGTACGAAGTTAATCCAAAGAAATAACAAAATAGCTTACCCTGTTGGTAAGTTGGTCGTCTCTCGATGGGTTTTTCCTATAAAATAGACCTGCATCTCGTCCATCTTGCCATTCTCTGCCTCAATCATTAGAGTATTGACAAAATGTTTTTCTCCTCTCTCTCCCTGTCTTGGATGTGCGAAGTGCTGAATGCCATTCGCCACAGGATCGATGGTGAACAAAGCCTCCAGCTGCACTCTCCTTCAATATGAAGGAGATATTTGGGACAATTTATGGGTTTTATCCGAGTGAAGGCTTTTTTTTCTATTCTCATAAATGCTGACATAATTAGGGTAATTTTTGATGTAGCCCGCTGATTACAGCGTTTTTACCGTCAAAGATAATTACCTGTAATTTTCTACCACTTTTAATACTGAAAGGCATCTTTATTTGGATTTGAGGTAGCAAAGACGAAACAAAAGACGAAATTATTCGGTTATTCATGTACAAATTGCCTCGAAGAGGGAACGCTCGGGATATTATGTGAAATGACAATGTTGAATAGGGAGAGGAGAAGCCCCTGCAGCTGCCCCAGCCTGCCAGCACTAAATGGAGCTTGATTCGTTCAAACCGAGAATTGGGGATGGATCGTCTGCGTGTTTTCTAGGCATATAGAATCAGCTTTGGAAATGCTGCTGTAGGAGAGGCCCTGTTGGACCAGCCATGGTTTACGCCAGTTTACCCAAGCTGGCATAAAACCTAGAAGCGCTGAGGTTTAGATGGATTTAAAAAAATGAGGTGGAAAATGTAGGACAATTTGAATGTTTTGATGATGCAACAGAGAAAGCTGAGGCCAGAGAGAGATATCTAGACAGACAGATAAAGAAACAGACAGACAGACAGATGGACGAACGTAATATTGAAAGAGACATCGAGATGTAGGACAAAGAGATAAGGAAGGAGAGATAGGATGTGAGGGGGAGGGAGGAGAGAGAGAGAGTGAGTGAGTGAGAGAGAGAGAGATCGCAATGAATGCATCCTAATAATATTACCAAACACTATTTCAACAAGACGTCACATATTGATTACAGTACTCATGCCTGTCCCTCAGCCTGGCTGACTGCTTTACTGGCCTATTGCTTCATTTCATAAACCTTACAGTCTGTTGCATTTTCCCAGCTTCGCTGCCCACTAAGCCGCTGGCCACAGCGGTGTCCGTGTGCTCAAAGCCGTCCAACCCAGTGCTTACCTTTCCTTTCCTTTCCTTTCCTTTCCTTCCCTTTCTTTTCTTTTCCTTTTCCCTTCCAGGGGCTCTGCTTTCGGCGCCTACCCCGCGCGGCCCGGCCTGTGTACCGCTGCTGCTTCAGCATAAGCAAATCCAGGTGTGAAAGTGTTTGCACACCCCGACGCCTCTTATATATCGCCTGCAAAAATTAACCGTTATTACTGTCACTGTTTAGTGCTGGTGAGCTGAAAAAAAGCCTTCTGCAATCAAGAACCAAACGCATCTTTGCAAATGATAGATAATTGTAAATGTCCAGATTATGATAATGGAAGCCTAATCCTGGTGGAAGTGTAATTATTGTGGAGTGTTACAGTTGAAGCTGTCCAGTAAAGCTAACTGTCATTATTCATACGCCATTTGCAGAGGGAGTCGGGGAGTGCAAAATGTTCAGTCGGAATTTAACAAGGCTCTCGATATAATGGCACAGGGAAGTGTGTGCGCGCGCCTGAGTGTGTGCGTGTGTGCGTGCGTGCGCGGGGGGCTTTAAAGGATAAACAGAGATAAACAATACCGTACTAATGCTACTTTATAGCTTCTGGAAACGTCACATATCAGGAAATGTGTATTTATTCATTTTCGTACAAAACCAATCGGTGGTCAGTGATGACGCCGGTGTTTGTTTACTTATTTATTACTGCGTGTGTTGTGTGTGTGTGTGTGTGTGTGTGTGTGTTTGCGTGTGTGTGTGTGTGTGTGTGTGTGTGTGTGTGTGTGTATGTGGATCTAATTTGTGATCAGAGCATCGCTTCAACCTGCAGGGGAAAACGAAGTGTCACCTCCAGCTAAAAGACAGGCGTGTACCTGCGGCCTGCGAGTGATTGATGCGTGTCTGCGGCCTTTTGTGGTCAGAACAACGACCTCGGGTGAGCAGACGTGCCCTGCAGTCCAGTACTCAAAGAACTGTCAGGATGACACTGTGAGGAGCTCAAAGCAGGCTCAGGTCTAAGCCCCGGACCTGAGCTGGTTTAGTAGTGAGCTGCACTTTGTGTCAGTGAAGAGCTGAAACGCTGCTGCTTTAAGCGGATCTGCGCTCGTTTGTCTCCATAGAAGGGCAAGAATTTCAGGGTTTCTCCTCATTACTGCCGTTCAGGAGAGCTAAAGAGTACAAAACGGATATTTTACTGTCTGCCGGGCCTCTTAGTGATGTTCTCAATCCAGATAAAACGCCAAGGATTTTGCTATTTTTATATGAAAGCACTGTACAAATAAAATTGAATTGAAGTGAGTTTAATTGAATTGAAATTAATGGAAGTGAACTGAATATGCTGCCTGCAAATCATCCAAAATTTGTTTATGGTTACCATCTAAATAAAATAATAATAAAACATCGCTTAATATTTCTATATTGTATTAGAAATATTATCACTACTACTACAAATAATAATAATAATAATAATAATAATAATAATAAACCAAGCTGAAAGTAAAACTTTATGCAGCCCTGTAGTCTATTAATATAAGACCCTGACTCAGCTCAAGGCAATGTCAGAAAAAATACACACCCCTCCATAAAGACTGATATTAATGAGGCATTTACACAGCAGTCTTTCTAAGCCTGGACTAAACCTGGCACCAAACACCAAAATATTTCCAGTTCAGCAGCATAATTTCGTCGCGCGCATCCGCTCTCGGCTCCGGTCAGTCCGGAGCTCGCGTGTCCGTCACTAAATAATGCAGCAGACGCAGAAAACAGAAAACGTGTCCACAAGACGATGCTCTCTCTGCTCCTCCACAGGAGCGAACAATTATCTACTGTGGAATGGTGTAAAAAAATGTAGACATAGACTCAAACAGTAAATGTAAAGAAAAACACACCATGCCTATATTTATTTGACGTTGCTCATAATGATGGCACATCCGGGGATGCACAAGCGTTGAGGTTTAAATTCAAGGCACCAGTGAGAGTGTTTTGGGGTCCATCGTCCATGTAAAACATTTAATAAGTCTTCCAAATGCAATAAATTACATGCACACATTTACACATTATACACGGCCTTTGTTTCTATGACTGTCAAATCAAATACATTGCATATTCTTCAGAAAAAAAAGGAATGTAACATCAGTCCGATACAACAAAGTAGATGTTAGAGAAGTTTCAGTACAACGTTCCTGATCCGAGAGCCAGTGAGTGCTGTAACGAGTTGGGAGGCTGCAGGTGAGAATTCACTGTGGCAGAGGGGGGATACCAGGACGGGGGGGTTTCCAGAAACGTGGAGCTTTGGGGCTGGTGGGGGGGTCTGGGGGGGGCCTGCGAGTCCCACACTGCTGGAGACTGGGGGGAGTTACACGCCATGGGGTCGCTGGAGCTGGGGCTGTGCTCCGGGGGCAGCTCTCCCGTCTTCATGATCTTCTTCAGCTTCGACCTTCTGTTCTGGAACCAGATTTTCACCTGCGGAGGAACGAGACGCATGAGAAACGGAAAGACTTAAAAAAGCAGCAACAATAAATCTAAATAATCTGTAAACAACAATAATAATAAAACAATAATGAAATAATAAAACAAACAGAAACATTTACGTGTGTTACAAATTATTTGTACCGAACAATAGGAGCAAAGCAGCAATATAATAAATATAATAATATAATTATATATAATATATAATATACATTTATGACTGCTATTATTATATTATGCATATATATGACCACTATTCTGCTATTACTATTCACGTATTATAGACATATATAACTACTATTATTCTTAGGATTATTCAATTATTCAGTTCAGAGTTATATGCACAATTTTCCCCTACAATTACTAAATAATAATAATAATAATAATAATAATAATAATAATAGCAAAAATCTAGGCTGTTATATATCATGATTACCGATAAATAATTAGCGCTACTTTCAAACCAGGCTGTTCTCTGATTATTATTTTATGTGTCCGTGTGTTTGTGAGGTGCAGTAAGAGAGTAGAGTGTCCGTGCCTGGGTCTGGGTGAGGCCCAGGGAGGCGGCCAGCTCGGCTCTCTCGGGCAGCGCCAGATACTGCGTGTTCTGGAAGCGCCTCTGCAGCGCGGCGAGCTGAAAGCTGGAGTAAATGGTGCGGGGCTTCCGCACTTTCTTGGGTTTGCCGTTCACCATCCTCACCTCCGGCTCCACCGGCTCTTTCTCTACCGAAAACAAGAGAAAATGGAAGAGAGAAGTGAGTAGGCGTAGTGGAAAAAAAATTTAACTGCTCTGCTCTGCTAAGAACGTGCTGGATGCCCGTTCAGATTCAGCTGGACAAAATGACCGAATGTGTTTGGCTCGATGAACGAGCTGTCCTCTGTTTCATATTCCCGCACAGTTTTTCCAGAAACCCTTTTTTATTTGTGTTATCTGTAAGATTAGCAGTACAGGCTGTCTGCACATGAGCGACTGAGACCTTTTTAGAGACTTTTCAGATCTGAGGGAAAAGTCTGAGAGAAAAGACTTTTTTCTTAAAATGATAAACCGCAATAGTCAGTAATAATAATAACAACAACAACCGCTATTATAATAACGTAATAATAGAAATAAAGAAAAATACGTTCATGTTATAATAATGATGCAAATTATAGGAGTAAACCAATAACAATAATAATAATAATAGCAATAATAATAATAATAATTTTAATAACAATAGTGAAGCGGTTACCTTGCGGGCTCGGCTGTGACTGCACTCTGCTGTATGTTCCATACTGGTGGTAGGCTGAGGTGCTGTAAGAGCCGTAGTCAGGGTAAGATTTGGCCGAGTAATTTCCAGCAGATCCATTGACTCCGTGGTACTGGTACGGGTAGGTGTTTAGAGGTTTCCCATATGAGCCGGAGTTGGGGGAGCAGTAGCCGTGGTGCGCTCCGGCGGGGCTGTAGTAGCCCGCGTCCGTGGCCGTGGACTCGGGCAGGGTGGGAGACTCCTGAGGCGGGTGGTGCATGGCGGAGAGCTGAAACGCGTTCTGAAAATCTGCAGCTTTCGTACCGGGAATCCTCCTGTCGAATACTCCAGTCATGGTGCGCGCGCGCGTGTGTGCGCCTGTCTGTCTGTCTGCGTGTCTGTCTGCCTGTGTGTGAGTATGTGTGTGTGTGCAGTAGGCGGCTGTAGCTCTGTGCAGGGCTCTGAAGTTCACACTCGCATGGTGTGTGCTCGCTCTGCTCCTGAAGACTGCTGGAAGCCCTGCAGCAAACACTTGGTTAAATCGTGAAGGGCGCCGTTACGCACTGCAGGGAGGATCCAGCTCCATTGGCCACGGCGCACACTACAGCTACTCCCCAACGCACTAAGCAACACACTGCGCGGCCTGACGCGAGCAGCTTTACAGCGGCTTTACACACAGTCACTGATGTGGACAATGTTGGCAGTTTTTAACTTTAAGGTAAACAGAGTCAAACAGTAGTGTTAGTGAGGCCAATACGTCCAATAATGACTTCTGAACAAAGGCACACGTGTCGGGGCGTGTTTTCTCTTTAAATCAGCCCTATACTGTAAAAATACATGTAAAAAGCAAGAATACTGTTGTTTAGATACTTACAGCTTTCCTTTTTTTTCTTTTTTTTAGCAGATTTGCCGATGTGTGCTACCTGTGTGCTGTTGTCATGGGCCTTTCCCTGATCATAGTCAATACATACACATAACAGTAAACCCCACTTTCAGTGCAGACTGACTACATTTAATTTCTTTTTTTAAGTGAGATAAATATTGTTGTAGTGCTACATCAAACGCTTAAGACTCCATTGGAAGCAGCAGACGCGAAACACACACTTACAGGCGGTAAAATGGTGCCACCGTGTGGCGGAGAAAAGTAACACCACCTGGAATAGTTTCGTTATAATAAATGAAGAGAGCGTTTGTGAAAATAACTCCGCGACTTCGGCAGGGAGAAAGGTGTAGTAGTGCTTCGCCATCGCTTTTACAGAGTGATGAAAAGCTGCTTTTATAAAAGTCCGAAAACTTCTGCTCGCCCAGCGGATTTTAAGTGAGCCTCAAAACCCGGAAATGACGCAGGATTACGCTCCACGGTTTACTTATGTTTAATTTATTTTTTGGTCGTGCTACATAAACAGCATACTACTCATACAAAAACTCTGTGACCTCTGTTTGTATATTCAGTGTCGTGTTAAGCGCTGAAGCACCTCAGTTTTTGCCCCCGAGCGGCGGGCTGTGCTGTGCTGGCGGACGGGCGGTTGGCGCTGTTGTGGTGGTGACGATGGGGGGAGGAGGAGAAGGAGGAGGAGGGACGGAGGAGGCAGCGGGACCCGCCGAGCTACTTTAGTCCACCACTCGCGTAAAACACCATTTTCCCTGAAAACAAACAAAAACAGTGATTCTGTTATTGGTAACTTAGCTTTCGGGTTCGCGCATGCATCTCAGCACGCCCGAAAAGCAAAAGTAATCACGCTGCGAGTGGCGAGTTGTGCTTAAAAACACAGCAACTAAAATGTATCCGAGTGGAGCAGCTGGCGGTGAGTATCGTGAGCTAAGCTACTGAATAACTGCTAAGCCTGCTAACTTAGGGGGCCATATTCGCTGTCAGTATTTCTCAGTTATCAGTGGTAATGTCTTAGGAAGATAACGTTTATTCGATGTGCCATTTAAACCGCTTTAATAATTGAATTGCTTAATGCGTTTCGTTATTTGTTTATGTCTGTTAAATCCGCATGCTCAGTGGGCCTTGCTATGTTATTGTTAGCCTTCCAGCTAGCTCGCTGCCTAAGCTGCTTTAGAAGACGCTATCCAACAGCAACTGGCTAAACGAGGCATGCAAGGGGTGTTGCTAAGCTAACTAACTTGGCTAAGTTGTTACATAGCTAATTTAGGTTATATTAATTACGTTAAAGTCATCGTTTGTTGGACAGTTAACTTGCAATGCTAGCTAGCTAAGTTATGTGCTGCTACCATTAATTGCTTAGCTAGCTCGGTTATCTTCTTTTGAATAGGACAACACTTAGTTTGCTTGCTACGTGCTCTGCACATCAAACTGTTTCACAACATAAAAGCTAGCTGGGTAACCAACTGAATAACTGTTATTTAACTCTAGGGCAAATTAATTCCCCTGGCTACTGAGCCAGAGGTGTTCTGTCAGGATTATTAGCATCGGTCGGGCACTTTTAGCCGTCTTAGAGCAGTCAGTGAACCGTGTTAGCTGCTCAGCCTGTGATTAAATTGTTTACGATTAACAAAGTTGTTAATGCAAGAAGAACATTAGGCTAACGAAATAACAACAACGTCTGTCCCCCTAGGGGGCGATGTGAAATAGCTCTCGTTTAGTAACGTTGACCTAAGCCTGGCAGGTGTTTACTTAGCTAGTTAGCTAACTACTTCAAGTTAGAATGAACAGCAAGTAATGTGCGTTAATCGATTTGAGACACAGTGATCATATAGAGATTGATTTCTAAGAGGCGATTGCTCGATTCGTATCCTTGAATTTGGTCAATTTGTGATCTTGGAGAATAGCAGGTTGTGATGGGTGAGGGGAAGAAAATGATTCGTACAGAATACACCCTTTAAAAGGTGTTTTTTAAGCGTTTTTTAGCAAAGGCACTGAGTATGTATATAGAACCGTCAATACTCAAATAAGAATGCATAAATGGTTCTTTGCATGGTCACATTTTATATGGCTCCATTTAAAAATGGTAGCACCAAAAAGCACCTTTTTTGATACGGTATAGAATCTCTTTTGTTCAGGGTGTAGTCTTGCATTGGCAGTGGTGTTACACTATTAAAAATCTCATTGTGTCTGATAAGCTGACCCAAACTTTCTACAAAATTGCACTTTGCCATTGCATGTCAGGAACAGGGGGCAGTGCTGTTCTATAGGTGGGGTAGACTGCCAGGCTGTTGAGTTGCTGGTGTGGTCTTGCTGATAAAGGGTTGGAGAAAACCTGCAGGGCAGAGCAGGATGGGTCCTGGTCTGTCTTATCTTCTGAACATGACACATTTTTGGTTTTGATAAGCTGGGTTGAGACCTTTTTTTGGGAAGCCAGCAGCTAAAGAGCATCAAAACCTTTGGGGTTTCCTTGTGACTACTGAAAGTCATTGAGCATCTAGTGCAAGTAGGCTTACACCTGTTACACAGATTATTAAAGCTAATCCTAGCTCATTTGTAGGTCGTTTGTAGAGATCAAATCTTTTGATTCTTTTAAAGTGATGTCATGCCATTATCACATAAAATCATTTTGTAAGGATGTGCTGCATATAAGCTACTGGTCTCAAGCATATTTAGCTTCTTATGTATGTGTCTGTACAGCATCATCATGTTGGCTGGAGGTCTGTTTGACATAATGCAATTTTGTTTTTTTTGTTAGTTCCTGAGATGTGTGAGGGCCTTCCCTCTTCGGGGTCAGTAGGTTCTGGTAAGAAACTGAGACTTTGAACTGACATGTCAATAAACTGGTAGGGTCTTGATCCATTGTTACTATACAAAAATATTACTACTACTAATAATAATAGTAATAGACCTTTGATTATATAGTACAGTATTTAAAAGTGATAAGTAAATCATGGAAAAAATAAAGTACAGTGGTCTAAAAACTAAAAACGTGTAGGTGTTGGCACTCATTTCTTTTGCGTATTGTAGCTTTCACTTGGTCAGGCTCACTTCTGTTGTTTCAGTCAATACCACCAAACTTTCTGTCTCCTTTGTGGTATATAGAAAATGCTAATGCTTGTGGTATTAACCTGTGATGTTATGGTGCTGAAGGGGACAGTTATCTAATTTAGTAATGTTGGCTTGCTTCAGTGAAGTGCTTAAGCATTGCTCTACTGTTTAATGTCTCAATTAGGGATGTCTCGATCCAGTTTAATACAGCCACACAATTTAGGTAAGATGAGCTAGTCTGCCAATTAATGTTAGATCACCTTTTTTGACTAAAGGTTGCTTGTTCAAACACAGTCAAACATTTGTTGCGCAGATATTTTTTTTCATTTTTCTCTTTAAAATAGATAAACCCTGTATACATGTAAAACATCTCTGAAAACATGCCTCACTGCCACAAGTTGTGATTGCATCTCACTGCATTCAGTGGTGTACATATAGCACGAAGTAGAAACAAGGACTATGATTTGATCGGGCTTAATAAAGCCAGATCCATTAAAATATGCCTGGATCAACTCCAATCCCGATTCTCCAGAACGGATCAGGACAACCCCGACTCTCAGTGTATATGCTTTTTGGTATCAATATATTGATAAAAATGGTAGAAACATGTAGTTAATGCTGCCTTTGTCTCGGAAATATTGTATTTACGAGATGGATGCGCATGAACGGCCCCACGTTGTATTTACTAGGGGGAAACTCAGATTTTTCAGTGAGCCCCGAGTTTCCAAGTTGGGGGCGTGTCAACAAAAAAACAATGATAGCCACTGATAAACTGGCCATATTTCAGTTATTTATCAGCCACAACATTAACACTGCAGGCTAAGACCATCCACACATGGAAATACAGATATAATGTTCATATGCAGATTGTTTTTCAATAATAGAAAAATAAGAGTAAACCAAAAACATTATTTCAACTTATTTCCAACCAAAACCACTTGAACAAAAATCAAGTCGTACTAACGACCTCTGAAGTCGTAAGTAGGAACTTCTGAGGAGGACTTGAAGGCAGCATAAGTACTGGTTTTTGAGTTCAACAGTAGTAGTGGTAGCAACAGGTAAAACTTATTTAGGTGAGGTCATGGATGTAAAGATGTGATCAGTGTGGTAGTTTTCAGAGATGTACATGCATTCAGCTGTGCTTGTGACTTAAACTACAAAGTTAGTTTCAAAGCCTTGCTACACACGAGTATCTATTAGGCATTTTTATCTGCTGCGTTTACTTCTTACACACTCTGTTTTCACTGGTTGTTGGGAGAATTAACTCAGATTGAGTTCTTGAGAAATACTACTAGATTACATGCAGAGTTGGGTTAAAAAAAATAAAAAATTTGAAGTACTTTGACTGGTCTGAAACTTGATGGGAACGCACACACTCTAAGTCTGTGCACCTCACACACATTTTCTCTCCCAACTGTCAACTCAGACTGCTGCAAAATCTACATACTAGGGCCAGCCAGATATGTTTGTGTGAATGTGATTTTACATTTGTATTAAGATATGACCTATGTAAGTGAAATGAATATTCTTTGGGAAAAACAGTTTTTCCCCCCTTAACTCTAGATTGATTTTTTGGTGATTAATCATGAGGCTTATTAGTCTGTAACTACTATGAATTATGTAGTAAGTACTTTGAAAGTGACATGAAAGTTATACAAAGGGAGAGAAATCTGGAGCCATGCACAGTTCTTTGGCTTTTTTTCAGCCATTTACAGATTAAATTTCTTATAAATGTCTGCCTATTGAAAAGTTAAACATGGATATCAAACTGCATTTAAGAGAGCAATTTTTTTTCAGGGGAAATCTGAATGTTTTGGTAAACATTCTGTATAGGATGTTGTAGAGCATTTGCTTGCTGACAGTTTTTGTCAGTTTTGGTTTGGGGTATTGTGCACTTATCTGTTATCTATTTACTAATATTACCTTTTGTATTTCTGGTGTCATTACCAGGTTTTGGTAATTTCTTGCAGTATTAACTACTGTTGCTATCACAGTCTAACTCTTTGCCAAGCTTTAGAAATTCATTTCAAATGAGAAATACAGTATATAATCAGTGTTGAACTTTAGTCCATCAAAAATAGTTGCTGTATTTTTTCACTTTTCACGACGTCCAAATCTCAAACCTGATTTTAGTCGTAAACAGTGACAAAATTCTAAACTGAAAATTCCATTTGCCAGTCTGAATTATCAGAGGCTAGAATGAACCTTAATCTAGAAAATAAACATATAATTTAGAGACAGCACAGTTTGTTCATTTTTGTGGGCTTGTGTTTGTTCCTGCAGCTCCTCCATCTCCTCCATCACATGAGTATGTGTTCAAACCACCCCAGCGGCCAGACTTTGGCACCATGGGCAGGACAATCAAATTGCAGGCCAACTTCTTTGAGATGGACATCCCCAAATTGGAGATGTACCATTATGACATTGACATCAAACCTGAGAAGTGCCCCCGGAGGGTCAACCGGTAACTCACACATTTTAAAACAGAGATTCAAGATTACACATTAGCAATGGCAAAGGAATTTGCACTTAAACACAATGTTGTTTTGCAGTGAAATTGTTGAGCACATGGTCCAGCACTTTAAAACGCAGATCTTTGGTGATCGAAAGCCTGTGTATGACGGGAGGAAAAATTTGTACACGGCAATGCCTTTACCCATAGGGAGAGACAAGGTGAGTGATGTTTCTTGTAAAAGTGAATCACTGAAAGCTGATAGGTCAGTAGGCTCTTCAAAGCTTCACATTAATTTGTGTTCTCCTCAAAACTTCACATGAACCTGTATACTCCATTGACGTACATGAATATACAGACAGGTCCATATGTACAGACAGTGGCACAATTTTTGTAATTTTGCCTCTGTACACCAGTGGATTTCAAATTAAGCAATTAAGACATGATTGAAGTAAAGACTTTTAGCTTAAATTCAAGGGGTGTATCAAAAATATTGCATTTACCGGTTAGGAATTACATTTTTTTTTTACACGGTCCCTCCATTCTCACATTGAAGGGCTCATGATCCGAAGCATACCACATCATCTATCAAACCTGGTGGAGGCTGCGTTATTTCATGGTCATGTGTGGCTGCCAATCGAACTGGGTCACTATGTATGGGTGTCTATGATGATGTGACTGCTGACAGAAGCAGCAGGATGAATTCTGAAGTGTATAGAGATATACTGCTCAGATTCAGTCAAATGCTGCAAACTGATAGAACGATGCTTCACAGTACGGATGGACAATGACCCCTGAAAGCAACCCAAGAGCTTCTTAAGAAGAAACGTAATGTTCTTAAAATATCAACTTGGCAAAACCCCTCTACTAGTAGGATGCCATTGTCACACTGTGATGTCATATGGTTGCAGTGGAATCAGTCCTATTAAAAATAAGACTCTAATGTAGGAAAGGCCAAACGATATATTAGAATTAAATGAGATAATTAGCTCACTGTTGCTCAGAGAGAGAGCAGTCATTTGATGCCACAACAAAAATGGCAGCCTACTAATAGAAGGATTTTGTCTATTTTTAATAATACCGTTTTTTATTTGATTTATACAACATATTTGAATATTATTGGACGTTGGAGATGTACATGTTTTAACAGTCACTGATGACAAACCTGAAGGCAGAAAGACCCACAAACAAGCAGCAAATGAAAGCAGCTGCAGTAAAGGCTTGGTAAGCATTTCAAGGAAACTTAGCATTTGATATCGTCAGGCAGTCATTGAACAAAGAATTTCCATTCAAGAATTAAAATTAATACGTCTTTCTTATAATCTTTCTGTACTTATAATTGTTGGTTTGTCCAGAGCCTGTGAAAATAAAGGGACTATGTAAGAATGGCTGCATTTCCCAAATGGTTAAGTGCAGTATTTTTACACCCCTTAAAGATGAAAGCCTGCGATTACTTCATTTGAAATCCATAGTGGGTGGTGGTGTACAGAGGCAAAATTCCAAAAATTATGTCACTGTCCATATACTTATGGACCTGACTGTAAGCACTGGGTCAGACGAGATGCCAAATGAAGAAGTGGTGATGTGGTTTTTGACGGGTAATTCTGTTTTAGGTGGAGCTGGAAGTGACTATACCTGGAGAAGGGAAGGACAGAAGCTTTAAAGTGGCCATAAAGTGGGTTTCCTGTGTCAGCCTGCAAGCTCTTCATGAAGCATTGTCTGGACGGCTGCCAAGCATCCCTTTTGAGACCATTCAGGCTCTAGACGTTGTCATGAGACATTTGCCCTCCATGAGGTCAGTTGGCTGTTTATTTTTTTTTCACTTTCAGGGATAGAATCTTGTTTTCATCCAGGGATCAGATCTTAAAGCTTGTGTTTTGGGTTAACTGAGTTCAGCCATTCACAACTCAGTCTCAGTCTTGAATAAGTTTTGAATTAGAAATATTAAAATATACTTTACTTTCAGTGGCTCTCAGATATTTCTTATGTATATTTGCTCAAGTTATTGCAAGATAAGTAGATGAGTAGTTGTGAAAAATGATTTTTCACCACAAGAGGGCACTGTTGATGCATGCAAGTTATCCACAAATATGTTTCCTGCTCTGGTAAATCACTTATTCCCCTTGTTTGCCTTTTCCCCAGGTACACGCCTGTTGGTCGCTCATTCTTCACACCTTCGGAGGGCTGCTCCAACCCCCTTGGTGGTGGGAGGGAAGTCTGGTTTGGCTTCCATCAGTCTGTTCGACCATCCCTTTGGAAAATGATGCTCAACATTGATGGTGGGCATCAGTCTGCATTATGGATTGTTTATGGTTTGGGGGTTGTTGAATATGTAATATTTTGTATACATGTCTAATTTTGTTCCAATTTTGTTTTGTTGCTGTTAGTGTCGGCCACTGCGTTCTATAAAGCCCAACCAGTGATTGAGTTTATGTGTGAGGTTTTGGATTTTAAAAGCATCGAAGAACAACAGAAGCCTCTAACAGATTCCCAGAGAGTGAAGTTTACCAAGGAGATAAAGGGTGATTACAGCTTCTCTTGATATTTTCTGAATGTAAAACTAATTCTGTTAGCATTTGCATGTTCACTTTTTGATTTCCTGATTTATGTTTTTCCACAGGTTTGAAAGTGGAGATCACACACTGTGGGCAGATGAAGAGAAAGTACAGAGTTTGTAATGTCACCAGGAGACCAGCAAGCCACCAGACGTAATATCTCTTTTCATTAAACCTTTTTCATTTTTAATTGATGTTAATACACAGTTTTGTATTTGATCAGGAAGGGCTTGATAATTAGCTGATAATAATACACAGGTGCAGAGAAATCATGAAACTGTGCAGGTGTACCTGCAAGACTGGGGTTAGGAAGCATTGTACTAGGGGTTTTTGTTGTCTGCAGCATACTAAACCTGGCTATAGCAGTATTGTAGCCTTTATTCCACACTAAAATGGACATGTTCATCTGTTTTGCTTCCTGAGATTAGGGTCCTCAGTTCATCAACAGACTTTGTTTTAATAACGATTTCAAAATGATAATGTTTTTATCCTGTCCGGTTCTTTGAAAGAGTTTTAATTATTCTCTCTCTTTTAATCTTTGCTGCCTCATAGGTTCCCCCTACAGCAGGAGAATGGACAGACCATTGAATGCACTGTGGCACAATACTTCAAAGACAAATACAAACTGGTACTTCGGTACCCTCATCTCCCATGTTTACAGGTTGGCCAAGAGCAGAAACATACCTACCTTCCTCTTGAGGTTAGTCAAAGGCACTTATCATCTTGAAAAATGTATTCAGTACATAAGTGATTATTTTTGTGTAATATTATCTTGGTTTATCCTAGGTTTGTAACATAGTGGCTGGACAGCGATGCATCAAAAAACTGACAGACAATCAGACCTCTACTATGATTCGTGCCACAGCACGGTCAGCCCCTGACCGACAGGATGAAATCAGCAAACTGGTCAGTGCAACTTTCTGCTCTGTGTAAATCCATAAAAGTGCATAGGTGAATGAGCCACTGTGTCACTCAGCATTTCAAGGACTGCATGTATCAGTTTTTATATTTAAAATATATTCTTTTGCGTTACAGATGAGAAGTGCCAACTTTAATACTGATCCTTATGTGCGTGAGTTTGGGGTTATGGTGAGAGACGAGATGACTGAAGTGAATGGCCGGGTCCTCCAAGCACCTTCGATTCTATATGGAGGAAGGGTATGGAGTTTTAAATCCCTTGTGAAAATTATAAATTCTATAAATGTACTATCAGGGCCCGAACATACCAAGTCGACTGTTGGCTGTCTGTCTTCACTAAGCCGTAGTGTGTGCAGTATCATGGTTGGCTGTCTGAACATGTTGAATCGACAATGATGGTCGGCCAATGAAAGAATTGGCTCCTAAAGAGAAAAATGAAAGGGAATAAAGCAAATGTCATTCTGAGGGGGGTACATACAAAGAACAGTGTCACTTTCAGTTGTCATTTTAACTATTTTTGCTATTCAAATGTCTGAAATTCTGAAAATAATAAAAAAAAATCTTGAATATTGTATTCCTAGCGACAAAACTATTAATATTTTTATAAAATAGCAACAGACAAATGTAAAACACGTTAAAGCTTTAAAGACTTTCAGCTAACACACAGAAAATAAAGCATGGGATACAGTTCTTCACATTGATGGAGAATGATGTATATGGTTCTTCATAGAACTTTTTTTGAAAATGGTTGTATATAGCATGAAAACCAGTTCTTGTATTGCTATGATGTCAAGCTTATAATATTAGAAGATTTTTTGGTCCTATACAAAACCATTTTTACAAAGGTTCTATATATAGAATCATGTACAACACATTCTCCATCAGTCTGAAGAACAATTTCTCCATGAAAAAAACTATTTAAGCATGAAGTGATTCTATATAAATCTCATGGTTTTAAACAGAACCATTCTCTTTCCTAAAGAACCCTTGAACAAGCGTCTTTTTTAAGAGTGTTGGTTTAGCTTTAACAGAGGCAGTTGAAGCTTTTAAGACAGTCAAACAGTACATTCTTTACTTTGTGTGTTACAATTTTACAGACTTCTGCAGCTCCTACTATAGAGAGTTCTTATTCACACAGATGGATTAAGCTTATGCGTGTTGGCCATCGGTTGTAGTTTGTGTGTTTGAGTGCAGATTTTCACAGCAGACTAGAGGTGGTGGTGAGCTGATGAAAGACAATTATCAGTCGGTCTTAGCTGGCACTAGTTCTTTCTTGCTGGTCTGGTGTGTCTGGGCCCCAAGAATATATTAAATTCTCATTACTGGTGTGTCCAAGTATATACTTAGGTTGCTGAATGTGTAAATCTTTTATCAGAACAAGGCAATAGCTACCCCAATCCAAGGCGTGTGGGACATGAGAAACAAACAGTTCCATACTGGCATAGAGATCAAAGTGTGGGCCATTGCCTGCTTTGCTCCACAGAGGCAATGCACAGAACTCCTGCTGAAGTAAGTCCTTCTGCTTGTATGACATGGTCTCTGTTGTGGTGGTACTTTTCTAACAAATGTCTTGCTGTTCAAATAATGAGATCCTTTTCATGTTGAATCTGAAGCTTGTAGAAATTGTTGTATGTTTTGGTCTTTGTCATTGTCACTGATCCCTGGCTCTGGCTCTTTGTGAATCTGTAGAGCGTTCACAGACCAGCTGCGTAAGATCTCACGTGACGCAGGCATGCCCATCCAAGGCCAGCCTTGCTTCTGTAAGTATGCCCAGGGAGCTGATAGTGTGGAGCCCATGTTCAAGCATCTGAAGTACACCTACCAAGGTCTGCAGCTGGTCGTGGTCATTCTGCCAGGAAAGACTCCTGTCTATGGTAGGTGAAGCTCCACTCTATCTGTTAACACACACTTGTCTTTATAGAGATGGACTGAATAGTGTTTTGTGAGGCTGATTTTGACTGCAGTTGTTCTTTAGCATGATTGGCTGATGCCCATTGCTATGGTGGGGCAGGGACAAGTTGCCACTACACTTAAATACCCAGGCAAAAATACCAAACATGATTAAATTGGTTTAGCAACCAAAACATTGCAGTAAACACATGTGAAATACTCTTACAGCTTTGTGGACAAATGCTTGTATGCCTTAAATTACTTTTGAATTTATTTTAAGATACACTTTATTGCTGCTGTTGTGTTATCTGTTTTCGCTAGTTCTGCTAGCTTCTGATATTCATTTTAAGTGGTTTGATGATGTGTTGATGTCTGGGTTTCAGTTTAAAAGTTAAACTGGTGTTTACTTTGCTTTTATCACTTTAATTTTTCAGACTTTGTAAGTAATATTGACTGATATTGTCACACTGATGAAACGTTAAGTGAAATTTGGCTCCCGTGTTGTTGATTGACTCTCACTGTTGGACAAATTAAAGAAATATCAGCCTATCACTGATCACCTAGTCCATAAATCTGCCATGCATCTTCTTTGCTTTTCTTAAATTGTGATGGATGATGTTGCCTCCAGTCATTGTTTTTGGTCAAATGTTGATCACCTTAATCTTTTGATCTCATTGTCTCATAGCGGAGGTGAAGCGTGTTGGGGACACAGTTTTGGGAATGGCCACGCAGTGTGTCCAGGTGAAGAACGTTCAGAAAACCACACCTCAGACCCTCTCCAACCTCTGCCTGAAGATTAACGTTAAGCTGGGTGGAGTCAATAACATTCTTCTTCCACAGGGCAGGTAAGAGTAGTTTTTAGATCATTAATGAAACAGAAGTTTTAATTCCAGTTAATGCAGTGCAGAATTTGTGGTGAAGGTGTAAATTCAGACTACCTGTTTTTGTGATCAAACTGATGTCTGCTTTCTAGGCCTTTGGTGTTTCAGCAGCCGGTCATTTTTCTGGGTGCAGATGTGACTCATCCTCCAGCAGGTGATGGAAAGAAGCCCTCCATTGCTGCAGTAAGCAAATTTATGCATAATAATCTTAGTTTCACTAATAGATGCTTTGTAGTAATATGGGCTTTTTGAGTAATGATATGAAGGTATGTGAATCTGCATAACAAATATGCTTTATTGGAGTGAAAAACATACCTAATTACTTTTGTTCTGAAATTGTTATAGGCTAATAATAAACCAGTGGATATACATTTTTATGTGATATATTTGCTGGTGGTTTTCTAGCCAAATGCATCTAGCCAACTGCAACATTTGTCTGTGCGTTTTAACTGATGCTAAATAATTTCCCATCTGGTTTAGGTGGTTGGCAGCATGGATGCCCATCCCAGCCGATACTGTGCTACAGTGCGGGTCCAGCAGCATCGACAGGATATCATTCAGGACTTGGCTGCGATGGTCAGAGAGCTCTTGATCCAGTTTTACAAGTCCACCCGCTTCAAACCCACACGTATCATCTACTACAGAGATGGGATTTCAGAAGGTCAATTTCACCAGGTAAGCCATTGTCATGTATTGGTTTATATGGTGGGGTTTTGTTTTGAAACAAACACATTTCCATTTCAATTGTATTTGTTTGCGACAAAGTTTTAGGTTCTACAACATGAGTTACTGGCAATCCGTGAGGCCTGCATCAAGCTGGAGAAGGACTACCAGCCTGGTATCACTTTTGTGGTGGTCCAGAAGAGACATCATACTAGGCTTTTCTGCATGGACAGGAATGAGAGGGTTGGTTATTTAAATTTTTACTGGGTTGATTATTTTAAAAAATTTGCCTTATTTTGCCTAATATTTTACTAGAGATGTTTGAATCTCCTTGTTCTAGGTTGGAAAGAGTGGGAATATTCCTGCTGGCACCACAGTTGACACAAAAATCACTCATCCATCAGAATTTGACTTTTACCTTTGCAGCCATGCTGGGATTCAGGTATCAAGTTTTTTTTGAATGTTAAGAATATACTCTATGGGACACTTGTTTTAATTCTCTTCTGATTTCATATGAAGTGTAAATATTGAAGTTTAATTAATTTGCTGCAGATTGGTGAACCCCAGTCTTTTGCTGAAGACAAAGTTTTAAAAAAGTTTTTACATTTTTTTTTTAAAACATGAGTCAGGTATTTTTAAAAAATTAAGCTAATTATTCATCCTCTCTTGACTGCTGTTCTCCACAGGGGACTAGCAGACCATCTCACTACCATGTGTTGTGGGACGACAACCATTTCACCTCGGATGAGCTGCAGGTGCTCACTTACCAGCTCTGCCACACCTATGTACGCTGTACTCGCTCTGTATCCATCCCTGCACCAGCCTATTATGCCCACCTCGTGGCTTTCCGTGCTCGCTACCACCTAGTAGACAAAGAACATGACAGGTATGCATGCCAAAAGTCTTATTGCCTAATAAAGAGTGATTGAAATGAGGAATGAACTGTATTATCTAAAGTGTCAGAATTTTTACTTGTCTATATTTGCATCTTAAGGCCCGTTCAAGCTGGATTAGTTTTACTTTGGGAGGTGCTGTAATTCCCGTGATTCCCGATGATGCTAAGCCATCATCATGGTGCAAATTATCTTCTATAATTTGATGAACTTGCATCTCCTTCAGTAATAGTTCTTTTTGAATCAACTTCAGAGTAATATAATAACACAACCTGCGAATGGACAACACTGTCTTTTTTTCCGTGACCAGAAGACAACTGCTAAAATTGAGCTTTACTTGGCACTGTTCCTTTATCTTCAAGTTCAAAACAGGGCTACTTTAATCTACAGCATTTTTGGTGAGGGCCTAATTAGAAGGAAAAGGAAATATCTACCTCTCACAAGGCAGTGCGATTTCTATCTTGTTGAATCAAACTCTAGTAGCCTTTTGATATTCTATTGGGCATTAACTGTAAGTTTTTGTTGTCTGTTAACTGTAGTCTTAACACTGTCATAAATGCCCAGCTGTAACGTTTCAGTTTGGGCTATTTGGAATTATTAAATTACACAGATACTTTATCCCTTATGAAAAGACCAGCCATATCCTTTACAAATTACATTACTGGACCTCTGGTAAAACTAATCCAGCTTGAACAGGGCTTTACATTAGAGATCAGTAGAGTAAGTTGATGGGGGATGAGTTTTTAATCAAATGTGGCTATAATGTTACTGAAAATGAGTTACAGCAGTGAATGTAGCAGACCTTAGGACCTGATATTTCAGAAGATTGATGAACAGCTTTGTATGCTTGTTTTGTGTCATGTTTCAACAGTGCTGAAGGCAGCCATACGTCAGGACAGAGTAATGGCCGAGACCAGCAGGCCCTGGCCAAAGCTGTGCAGGTCCATCAGGACACGCTGCGTACCATGTACTTTGCCTGAGCCCAGCCAGAGTTCAGTCCCAAAACACCTCGTACGTGTATGTTCAGTGTGCCACTTTTATCTTATGGGTTTCCTCAGAAGGAGAAGAAATTCCCCAATGTTTTTGGAGTCTAAGTCTCCACGTAGGTAATTCCAAATATTTTAAACATTCAAAAATTTTCTCCATGTATTTATTACAGATGTGAGAGAAGATTTTTTTTTTTTTGTTTTTCCCATTTTGTTTTAAGAAGGAGCTGAGGGCAGGTGAATCTTTGTTATATAGGTTTATGTTGTAAGCTAGGGGTTGACCTGTTTACATAGAAAATCAACTCAGTTTCAAAATACGTTTTACACTGACAATTCTGATTTTGCATTGGAAAGGTTTATTATTATTATTATTATTATTGTTATTGTTATTATCATTATTATTATTATTATTATAATGCCAAGTCAGATTGTAGAGATTTTAAAATAGTACTTTTGAACAAATTATTACACCATTGAGGTTGCAAGAAAGTATCGCACAGATCATGTTCCGGGGTTGTTGAGTTGCAGTCTCCATGGCTGTATTCTCAGCAAAGTGCACTGACTAAACGAGCACAACTTCAGGACACAAGTACTTATTTTGTTTTTATGTTTCATTTCTGTGTACTAACACAAATCTCAATGTTGTCTTTTTTTGTTAGTCCTGAATTTGTTCAGTCTACCGTAACACCTTGCGTAACAACTGACTGACTGGGGGGTGTTGATAAAGATTGTGTTTTTATTGGAAACAAACTCTTTAGAATGTGTGATAAAAAAAAATTGGAACCGTTTTAGTGGAACAGTAGAATTCTTATCAGCTTAAAATTTTGCCATTCTCTCACCATGAGAGAGTGTTTTGACAATCAGCTGTCTGGGCCTAAACAGGCTGCGATAGCTCGTGCAGGACAGGCTCCTGTCAGTGACACCCACCCTATTTTTGAGCCAAGTTTGTCAATAAGGAATCTGTTCTGATCAGTTCAGTATCCTTCTTTGATACGATGGTATCCTGTGCGTGTTTTTTCCCTAACATTTTCATTTTAAGGGTGAGCATTTAGACTATAGAGAGATTACTAATGTTTTTATACTCTTATCATTTAGATGAGAAGTTATTCTCTTTTTACTGCTGAATTGATATATTGGTTGCTGTGAGAAGAATTGCTTCGGATTATGGGTGTATTCGTTTTGAGTCAGTCTGGTGTTAGGATGTAAAGGAAGGATTTTACTACCCACTTAAAGTACAACTCTGTGATTCTTTCAGCTCTGTGGAATTGGTTGTGCCAGAGATATCTCACTTTGCCGTGTAGTGAGTTCAGGATCATAGCTGGTGCTCCTGAAAGCCTTGTATGTACTGTGTGGTTCAGTGAAGGGCCAAGGTTGGAGAAAATCTCTTTATGATAGACACTGGGCTGCACACTGCCATTCCTCAGCACACCACATCCACATATGCTGATGGCTCATGCAACCATGGCCTTAACTGTAGGGAGGTCTTGTGAGTTAAGGGAAAGTATTTTAAAAACTTTTTATATGTCTAACTAGCCACATTATTCACTGAGTCACATTGGAGGTGAAAATTCTTGTCTGAATGTGTTATGCACCTTAATTTTTTGCCCAAATGTTAATAACGAAGCAAGAGCCTTTACCATAGATTTGTGCGATTTCTTTACCTCCTTTAATGTTGGAGGTCTTTTCAGGAGCTTTTATAGTGCCACAGGGTTTGGCTAGTAGGCAAGTGTTTTTTAGTTTTTGTTGCATGGCTTTATGGGATATAGGGTATATTGACGACTGATCATCCACTCGTAATTAAAACTGAACCGCAATATATTGTATGCATCTCTGTATACTGTTATAATGCAACATTTGAATGCCTTCTAAAGCTACCCATAAGGTGTAATAGTCTGTGCTGGTTAATTAGCTGTACTGATTACTTCCCCATATAATGTTTCAGTTTTAAACTTCAATAGCTTAGAGTTGGGACATTTTTAACGTCTTTCCTAACTATGCATTTATAACCAAGAGATTTTAGTGATGTTTGTGTATATGAAATATGAATTTAGAACATATGTATTGTAGTAATTTTAAGCTGGGTGCTTTTAATAGTGTGCATAGTGCGAAACCCTGTATCCGTTGTAGCAGTATTAGCCTACAGAATACTATATTTTTATTATATCAGACAATTGGATATACTTTGTAAGACTTTCAGTTACTCCTGTTAGCCAAGAAAGATTACAAATATTAAGTATACTGTTGTCCTACAGTGATTGAAGCACAAAAAGATGTAATTGTAGGTGCTAGACTTTTCCTGACACATTTGTTTTATCACAATATTGTTTTCTTTACCATGAAATCACCATAAAAGCCTCAGCCATGAGGTTGAGTTGTTTCTTCACTCTTTATCCTTGAACATTATTCATTACTGTCATTTTCCGACTTAACTGTGTTTGCAGGGGCATTTTAGTTCTCAGTCTCAAATACTTGAGTTGTTTTTACTAAGTGGCGCTGGTCCCAAAACTTGTGAAAGTAGATGCACTTTGAAGGGCAAAGGACATATACCTTTAGTTCCATAAGATTCAAAGCATGAAGTTATTCTCTGGCTGTAATTGTGTGGAAATGGCTAGATGTCCTACCTCTTGTTGCCTGTTTCTAATATTATGGTAACATCCTTGCATTAGTCATTTCTTCATAATTACACAAGTGTTGTTCGAACACATTTTCTTTCTCTCAAAGTTTCTGGACATGATGATAGGTGTCACCTAGGTGTCAAATGTCTTGGACATTTGAAGTTACTGAAATATGTATCTCTTCAGCGGCCAAGTTTGGTGCCATTTGAATCCATTTAAATTGACTGCCATACTAACCAGTAATAAAGTGTTGAAGCCTCAAAGAACGATCGCTGTATGTCTAAACTGCAAATCACAGAATGGATTACGAAGAGCATTATCTGCTCTCAGTTTTTACTGAAAGTGTACAGTGTGAATACTGTCGTGTTCTGCCAAGCAACTTTTGATTGCAACACATTCAAGTTTTATTTGTTTGCCCCACCTCTGTGGCTGCTCATGTGCATATCATGTAGTTTTCCATTCAAATTTTATCTTTAGAGCTGGAACATTAATATTTATCATTTAGTTAGGGAATCGAATTAAGTGAACAATAACATTTTAACTACTTCTTAGGCCTGTTTGAGAAACAGCTTGACCTTACGTTTTTATTGATACCATTCACTTTGTTCCATAAATTGGACACAAGTGATCACAGCTTTCAGTTGTTACTGAGTCTTTAGTATTTTACATTTTGAAGCCAGCACCTTAGATTGTCAGAACTCTTCAGCATATGCAATTCCTCAAAATATGGAAAAAAATTGTATGATTGATATGTTTTTGCACTATATCAAGAGGTGACTAGGCTAGTGTTGTAAATGATTGTAATGTTAGCAAAGTTCTGGTTGTCCTCCTTTGTTGCCATAAACGCTAAAGGATCCTGCAGTTGTTTTTGGTCGAAGCTTGTAGTATATTTTGATACACACATGCACGTAAAATGCAGATTAGTGCAAGAGGCAAATAAGTCCTGAAGTCCTGATGACTATGCAAAAACGGATTTTTATTCTGTCAGAGCCATTGATCTTACATTAGGTTTTGTGTTGGTATCCATTCGATTAGCTTTAAGCTGATCCCTGATTTTTAAATGCGTAATGGTATCTGCGTACACTGTATACAGTATGTACTGTATACCTACCCAAGGCCCTAATTTAGAAACAAAATCTCTGCTTTTTAAGGTCCATTCAGTCAATCCTCAGTCAAAGGATGTAAGGACAATTTTTATGTACTCTTTTTCTTATTACTCATTTTCTAAATGTAGTGGAGTAATTTTTTAAATGCAGTTCACCTGAAAGATTTTCCAAAGTATGAAATTAGAGTTTATGCTTAAGAGAAAAAAATCCAACTGCAGACAGTACTCAACATGATGAACCGGTGGATTATTGGTTGAGTTACTACTTTTATCTATGCAGAGTAAAACATTATAAGAATCTGCTTATGAGAGTGAATATGGTGCTGCAGTGATTTGTCGGTTGGTGGATGCAGGATAATGCCTAATCAGTTTGTCATTCTTAATTTATCCTACTAAATTGCGAGCGAAACAGCTTATCAGTTCTCACTGCATTCCGATTGCTTTTTGCAGTCAGTTTGGCAAGACCAAATTTTTTTATTTACTTTTCATGCCATATAGTCCAAACACTTTTTGGAGAAAAAGTAAAATTCAACCAGTAAAATTGAGAAGGTCCAGAGGCATTACACAAGTATCATATCACTATTACCATGTGATAGCAGTGTGGACATGTCATTTTCTTTATGCTCTACAGCAGACAAACTGAAGTCCTCACATTTTAATTTCAAATTTTTGACAGCTGCCTCATTTCTAGTAGGTGCAACAAATTCAGAATCTAATGTTTTCGATTTATAGTGTGTTTGTTTAGTCATTTTTATAAACCATTAGTTGAAAATATGCAGCTAAGAGTTTAAACTTGTTTAGAAAAAATAAGAAAAAAATTGGTAATATTGGAATGGACAGCCTCTTTTTTGGCAACAGATTAAATGCAATATGAGGAATTGGGCTCTTTCCTAAATTAAGATGTTGGCTGAGACATACATCGGTGCTCTCCAGTGAGTCAACATTTGTGTTATTTTGCACTGTAATCTAGTTTAACAGTTGTAAGCAGAATTTCAAGCCGTTATCTGCTACTCTGTTGTACTCTGGTGCCCTTCTCTATAGTGCATCTTATGATGATCTCAATGTCCAAAATGTGGTCTACTAATACCCCTGATCAAAACCATAATGTATATGAATGTACTTTTAACAGCAAAAGTTTTAAATAGTGGCTAAAATAGCCACAGGATTCCATGCACTCAGCAATGTCTCATGAATTTATAGAAACTGCAGTTCAGCTACGTGTAATGGGACAAAGGACTAAAGAATTAAGTGTGCTCATACATTCAAGCATTTGGGCAATTATTAAGGACACACACTGGCACAAAAAAATAATTCTGTTGCTTGTGTTTGAGGTGCTGCACTGTAAGAATTGTATATAATTTAGGGCAACGTCGTAGTGTTTTGTTTGTTCTTCTTTTTAGTATGTCTATCATTTTTGAACATTTTCATTCGAAGAGCGTCTAGTTCCATCCAGCCACTATTTTGAGCTATAGCGTAATGCCCATGTTCTCCTTTCAACCTAAGAACCTTGGTTCTCATCACTGTTTGTCAGCCCTTTTGAAAATTCATTAACAGCCTGCTTTGTGGTAAACTTGATAGCCATAAAAGTGGTACTTGACAAGCTCCAGTTCACTGTGTGCATAAAGTAAAGGCTTTGATTAGCAAATTCTCACTTGACAGATTTCTCCACAGGTCAGTTGCCATCCAGACAAAGCTTGTCTTTTTGTTTCGTGATCCCTTTAGACATGGTCTGTTAAAGAGTTCCAAGAGCACATACTGAAACATTAGGCCGTAATCACAAATACATGAAACATTTTTTTATTGAAAAAATAGACATATCATTGGGCATCAATAATCCAGATATACACACAGTACTGAAATGTAAGGGTTATTGTGTGAAAGATGGAAAAAAAAAATCGTGACTTGCTTAATGACCTGGCTTTTTTATACCAACTTTGAAAACTACCTCAGAATGGTGTCGGGTGCTAGCGTTATATATATCCCTAATTTATATGATCATGACAAAGAATAATAATAGTGACCAAACAATAAAAGCCAATACTGTGTGTTAGAGGTATTTAGTTTTATTTTACATTTTTGAAACTAAAATTTGTATTATGGACTAAAATGAGGGATGTTATGATGTGTACAAAATTTTGGGGACCAAATTGTGAGCAGAAATAAAGCTTCCCTTTTTAAAATGTAGTAAATGAATAATCTTTCAGTGGACTGTAAACTGACATTTGGCGTACACTGTAGTCCTAAGTAATTGATCATTTATTTGTATATTGAAACATGCTTATCAGTGGGCATTACTGCTTTTTGTAATAGTTTTAGAAACAGCAAGGCTAGAGTGCAAATTCCCTGTTTGGGTGAATGCAGAGCAATAAATCTGGTAGTTTGTCTTTTCTACCGGGTGCATGTTGTTTGGCTTTCTTTAGCTGATTCTTGTTTGGGGTTACTTGTGGAGTCCCACCTAAAGGGAGCTTGTAGAGTGAGATAGTGTTCTTGGTTTTGTCTGGTTTATGAGCGTTTTGTACACCGACAGTGTCATCTTCATGCCCATCTGTAGCAATGTGTCATATTTCAGATGGAAACATTGGGCAGGAATGACCCAATGACCACTGCTGTGTTTTTGTAATACTAGGAGAAAGCAAATTTGGTGCATCCAGAAGTTCAAGCATGTTTACTTTTTTGTAGGTAAATCTGTTTGGCAGCGCAGTTTGAATATAATGAAGCAACTTGGCAGTGTGTGTCAAGTGGTAGTCTCAATGTCTGTCAGTTTTCATGTCTGTAAAAATGCCTGCATTACACTTAATTTCTCTTTGTATCCAGTATTGCAATAAACAAATTAGAGGGCATCGCCTTCATTACAACAGTCTGCTAAATGAAAACTCCACAGTAAGGGTAAGCAGGTCAAGAATAAGCTAGTTAGTTTTAATGTAATCTGATGCATTTTAAACGAGCTACATTTTAGAAAGGGAATTTGTTTTTAATTTAAATTCTCAAAGTCTAACTGAATGTGTTGCAACACATACTGATACACTGGCATATTTCAGTTGTTTGGAGAGAATTTAATCCATGTAAAAGGTACAAAAGGTTGTATGGAAATTAAATCGATGTTCTTGTTTTGTTGTTGAGCTAAAGACATCCAATTTGTGTTCTGTTTTTGTTTGTATGTGTGCCTTTTCAGATCTGTCTCACCCCCTGTATTTATAATGGGTGATAATCCTTTTAATTTGATACTCATTGCCACATCAAATAATTTATACATGAATTATCATGCAACCTTGAGTGAATGCTGCATAGAACGATCAGTATTTGTATTTTGCACTTTCTAAGCAGTTTTTACGCCCAGTTTAAAATCGGGCAGACAGACTAAAAGAAAATTAAGACGAGGTATAATCTGCTATAATAGGAATCCTAAAGAACCATTTGACGTGGAGGTCTTTGCTAAAAAGTGTAGAGACATGAAGTACCTCATAAGCCTGATATATGCTGCATCGACATTTATTTTTCTTTTGTGAACCTCTTTATTTTTTTTTCTCAAACATGGCAAAACAGTTTTCCCCAGAGGGAGGTTTGATGTACATGCAAGGCAGTGCATATGCGCTTCAAAATGATTTTTAGGTTTAACTGCAGCCTCGTTTGGAACAGCGTTCTGTACTTTGGCTGTTCATTGGAGTGATGAAGGCACATGCTGTACAGTGCACAGGAAATCCAACATTGTATTCTGAGAAAAGATCTTGATTTTGGCCATCCTTACTGATGTTTTCTGTAGTGATATGGTCTCTAGTTTCAACGAGGGTCATTATTGTCCCCTGATAATTATTTGGTGACTTGATATGGTCATAAATGACTGTTGACTCAGGTATTGCCGTTTAAGGGCTGTATCTGCTACTGCTTCTCCTCCCTGCACTCCCTCACCTGTGTCTTAAGTTAGCCTTGGAACTGCATTTACGGATAAAACATCACAAAGTCTATCTGGCCTTAAAATATGCACTACTCACCAGAACATGCAAGTTATGCTTTGCTATAAGTCACTGCCAATCATGCCATATGTTTTGTTATAAATCTACCTCCTATGAATGTAGGAGTGTCCTGGAACTACAAAAGGATTTCTCTTTTCAGTATAGTCTGAAAAGACAACTCTCAGTTGCCCCAAGCATGTAATCAACACCACGAACTCCAGGACACTCCAGTTGAGGCTGCATGGTTAGGGTTTTTTTTTTTTTCCCCCATGTTAATATAAGCCATGGAAAAGCAAAGTGACCAAAGTTTTTACTGAGGCATTCCTGCACTGCCTGGCAGGCTCAAACCTCCCCCTCACTTCAGCCATTGTACTTCTTTATGTTTCCTCCTTAACCACATGCCAAATTGAATTTGCTGTCATTCCTGTTGTGATGAGGTATTTTATTCTCATTCTTGTGTTCGGGCTCACTGCTAAGCTCTGTGTCATCGTTATTTCTTGTTAATGTAAAGTGTGAGCTTTGAGAGTTTTCATTTCTGCTTTTCTTTCTTTTTTTTTGTTAATTATGATTGCAAACTCAAGATATGCTGTAAACCCTGCTAGGACATAATGTGAATACGTATCATTTAATATAGTTGACTCTTTTGCTTGACTGTATATTGCATTGATTAATAAACTTAAGTTCCTCTGACTGTGTTTTGTCCTTTAGTCATTTTTCACATTTGAGAAACAGCTTTTTTTTTACATACTGTCTTCCTCTGCAGTCACAAACGTTACTGTTTTTGCCAAGTTCTGTTGTCATTCCTGTGTATTGACATCATTGTGCTGGACTTTCAGATTTCTCTTTGCTTTCTCTTAAACACTAAGCAACCCTAAACACAAAATAAACACAGATGTTGTGGGACCTCTCGAGACCCAAAGTATTGCAATCTGGACTGAAGCCAAGGTTTATGTTCTTAACTTAATGAAGCATAGGTTTGCCTGATCACAGCTGAATGACTGACTGGCTTTAACTGGGCATCATACTGCTGTAGCTTAGTTAAGAAGCTTGAGTAATGTGAATATTGATATCGATTCACACTGGTATTGCCAGATAACTTTTTAAAAATGTACTGCTATTGACAGATGTTTAGATTTGACTGATATTGATATATATCAATCTGATATTTAATGTATTTGTTGAACTTGAGGAGAATGTTTAGTCTATTGTGCTAAAATCTCATTTCACTCATTTGTAACTTTGTAAAAATTAGTCGTTTACTATTATGCTAATCCAGCTGGATGTAGTCCCAATTTCTACTTTTTATAGATATTTATTTAGCAGCATTGGCAAATATTTACAGGAAAAGTATATATCGGACATAAGCATCAGCTAAATTCCCGTCTCTTATTTGTGTTTTTTCTTTCAGGTTTAATGTAAAATAAAAGCTAACATTTCTTTCCAAGATTATGTACAGGTGTCCTTCCAAAATGCCTTCACATTCCTGCACAAATGGGTCTCACACCCTTGCTTCACCTGGACTTGCCTCAACAAAGAAAATGTGTGCCTGTAATGGAACCCCCAGACTCAAGATCTTGTAAAACCATCAAGTCATTCAGTGAAGAGGCTTTGCTTTTTCCCACTCTGCTTTCTTGCCACTTGGACAGCTAAACTTAAATAGGATGTCCAGGCTCTACTATAAATAAAAAATAGCCATCATGCACTGGTCTCGCTAAATTCTACAGAAGCAGCATCTTAAAGCTCATTCTGGATTAGCACAACTATCAGTGGGTGGCCTATCTGGAACATCAATATAAAGTTCCTCTGTGACATTATGTGCCTTTAGATTTTTTTTAGAACATATTAATCAATATAAATCAGTTTATGAGACTTCATGTTTTCAGATCAGCTATAGAAGACTTTGGTACCATACAATGTCATAAAGTCACAGTCTGTTCTATACTGGACATCAATAACTTACACAGTTGTATCTTACAGTCAGAGCTTTTTGCCCTCTGCTTTACATGAATGTCACTGTAAGTCAGTGTCAGTTGCTAACAGCTAACAGCTGCATGTGAAGATTTGCCTTTGTTTCGTTTAGTTTTTTTCGTACAATAGGAAAGTGCGGAATGCACTAATGTGAGATTTTCCGGAGTGTACTTTAGTTTTAGAAGTCCAGACGAAACTTATTAGACATATTTCAAACGCCATACCTACATACCACAAAAAAGACAAAACTGCAAAGCGCCGGCAAGTAAATGGTGCAGCATTTGGTGCTCAGCTGAAAACAGCAGCAGGGAAAACGAGTCAGATTTTCCAGCAGCTCAGTTACGAGCCACACGGCTCCACTCGAGCACACAGCGCTCAGTACGACACCCGCTAAGGTAGGATAACACTGCTGCTTACTTTATCCAGACAACAAACACTTTAAAAGATATTCAGTCATTTAGTCGAGTCGAGAGCTGTTGGTCAGGAAAACGTGAACGATGCTGTTCGGACTGTTTAAGCTACGTGTTTTTTTCCAGAAAACGCTGTATGTATGAATAGGAAGCCGCTCGAGCTGTAGGCTGAACTTCTCACAGGAGAAAACACGGCGTTCACGTTTTAAACGCTTCAGCACGTTGCAGTGGCCGAGTGTCGGTTATGGATGGCGTGTTTCGACGTTAGGATGTGGTTGAATGTCCCATTACGTTTAAAAGTCTGATACTAGCTCCGATAAAACGCACAGAATATAGCATATGCGTATGTACACACATCAAACCCATTTAAAAGTAAGAGCTCTGGTGTTTCTGATGTGTGTTTGAAACTCTCCTCTAGACTAAACTCTGACGGAGAGGTAAGTGTAAATTTAAGTAGTTTGATGTGTGGTAGCACTGTTAATGTTTCAGAACGTACCATTCAGTCCTCAGGCTGTAACACACGGAAGCTCATTTTACATTAATTGTTTTTGTGACGCCATTAAAACCAACGTATCTGCATATTTCCACCTATTCAGGCTACAGCAGTTTAGCTCCGCCCACTCACTCTAAAGCTATGTGGAGTGTCTCAGCCCTGACTGCCTTTTTTAATACAGGGCAGCCAATCAACAGAGGTACATATATCAGTCTAAAACAGTAATAATCTATTTGGTTTCTCTTAAGGGGGAACTCCACTGATATTTCAAAATATCAGTATCAGTTGAGATGTAAACAAAGTCATTCAGAGTGGTTTGATGTGAAATGGTTCACTGTAGGGAAACTTACCAACTCAGATTTCTTTACAGTGGTGGTGATAGGAACCAGGGGTCATGATGTCTACAAGGCAGATGTAGCTATTTTATTACCTATCTAAAACCACCAGGTAATCCATACACATTTATTATTGATTTTTATATCTGAGCCAAAAGCAGTTTTAAACAACAGAATATATAGTTTAATTAGTTGAAGTAGAATAAAATCTGCGCTGCTGTGTAGAATTGAGACTTATTGAGGCTTTCTGTTGTACCTGTTTTTTTTTCATTATTTTATTTTATTATTATCATTATTATTATTATTTTTATGTTGCTACACTGTGACAGGATGGCATGGGTTTGGTTGTCCAGCTGGCTGCTCCTCCTGAGTGTGTGCTGTCCTGGGGGCAGTGAGGAGGTGGCATCTGAAATGGAGGACAGAGATTGGGAGTGGGGCTCTGGTCTGCAGGAGCTCCTGCATAGCTTCCCCGCTGACAGCCCCTTTGTAACAGAGACACCTGGACAACCGGCCAACTGCACACAGCGGTTCTGGCTGCCCCCATCCTCCCCTGTGTGCTGGGATGACATTGCAGGGCCGGAGGAGTTTGAGCAGACCCGTCTGCTGGTGCTGCAGAACCGTGCGGCGCTGCAGGCTGTGTCCCACGCCAGCGGTCTGGAGGAAGGGGGAGCCTCTTATGACCAGCAGGCCAGGGAGGATGTTCAGGGGGTCCGGGCAGAACACTTCAGCATTGAACAGACAGTGGAGTCTATGCAGAAGGTCTTCCTCAACCTGGAGGAGAAACGGAGGGAGGGTGGGGAACACTACACTTTCTCCAGGTAAATCAAATGTCTACCAGATTCAAATAGTAAAGCGTGGGCAAGACGGCAAAAAAATATGCAGCTCAGTGCAAATGTGAGAGACCACCATTTCATTAATTCAGTTTTATGTCAAAAAACGAATATGAAGTAAAAGTTTATTTTTCAGTGTTGGAAAAAGTAAATATAAAATCAACGCTATCAGTGTTTAATTTGTCCACTCTTTACTTTGTTCAGTCTGCTGCAACTTTAACTCTTCCATCTTTCCAGTCTCAAAACCAGCGAGTTACAGCTGTTGTCCTCCAAACAAAAGCTGTTCCCAAATCTCTCAATAACACTGTTCCCCTTAAAAGAGACATTAGCATTCACACAAGCAGCGACCTAAACTCACCGCAGCTGCCTTACAAATTTCTTCTCATGTGCATCTAAAATGGCTAAAGGAGATATTTCTGAGAAGATTAGATACAAAATAATTAAATAATGGATTTAATGAACTAGAACATCAAAAGAAAAAACAGGAGTTTCCAAAATTGGAGCTCTAAAAATTATTACGGATATAAATAGATACAGAGAAAATAGGACGTTATATTTTATTATTATTATTTTTACAATATATTAAACCCAGCAAATAAACAGAAAGTGTGCATTAGAATTTACAAAAACATGTCATGTTTAAGTTGCTTGTGTGGTTTTCAGTTAGAAGGTCAAGAAAACATGTCATTTGACCAGGGGTGTTAAAACTTTTGCATATGACTGTTTTTAGTTATTGAGGCTTTTGTGTAATTTTCTGTTACATATATGTTTTCTATCTGTTCTTCCTGACACTGAAAAATGAATAACTTGTACTTTGGGGTCATTTTCACTGGAAAGTAATGAAACAAACGGGTGGTCTCTCACAGTACTCTGATATCACGATATGTGATACTGTCATGACGTTTTCATGAAACATGACCATTTGTTTTTCTGAAGTCTGATCATTTGGGACATACATAATGTACCAGTAGTGCCAAATTTAAACAAATGCTGTCCAAAACTATAATTTATTTCATTTGTTGTTTCACCCTCTTTTCAAAGAAATATGCAGCTGGTCAGTGTTCTGGAAGTACTGAGGATATTCATTATATGCTTAGACAAGTTCATCATGACGTCATCTATCGTGACAATGTTATATCGTCGTATTGCCCACTCTTATAAAAAAGATGCCCCTCCTGTCAACTAAACTTTATCTGAAGATACCATTTTGGAGCCCACCAGCACTGCTGAATTCCTTGACAATGATGTAAGAGGTGGAAAAGACACGTCAGCGCCTTTCCCTCTGTATGATTTAGAGTGCTTTTGTAATGAATGTCTGGCTTTAAAAACAGGGTTAGTTTATTATACACAGATCTTACTGTTTAAAAAGGATTGACTATGTCTCTCTGTTAAGTATAACAATACATGTCTTGTCTCCTACTATATGATGACGTCTTTAGAGTTGCGTTTAACTGCAAAAAGCACATTCAAGTTAGCTTTTTAATTAAAAACCAAGTGATTTTCTCTTGAAGTATTAAAGATTGGATTGAAGCAGCTGCGAATTTGCTTTAATGAAAATTACTGAACAAATTTTCCTCTTTTTCAGTTTAAAGGAGCAGATTGCAACCACCGTGGACTCCATAACTGGCAAGGATCAAACAGCAGCACTTCTGGAACAGCATCTGTCTAATCTAGAGCGGATCTTAGACATCATGCAGCATCGACTAGCCAGACTACTGGCACATTGAATGCTGTTAAAATTCACTTATTATTCTCGAGTGCAGTGCATGTCTGTGGAAACAGGATTTAACGCAAAAGCATGCTTAAAGTATTGTATCTCTCTATTGTGTATTATATTTTTGTTTGAGTCATGACAATATCTGTCTTATTCCCAGTGACTTCATGTTCTGCTAACACATCATTAACCCATTCATGTCCAAATACTTAATGTAGTATGTTAAAGAAAAATGTCATGGCACCTGTTCTGAAATGCAATTGTGTTTAGGAAGATGTCTTAGATGCAAGAACATCTAAAAATCCTTTTTTTTTTAATTACATGTAATTTTTATACATTTGTTCACAGTCAGATGTGGATTTTCTGTTGTAAAACCTAGACAAGTGTGATAAATGATTAAAAAAAACGATTTGAGCTTTGTGCTCAGGCAACCTCTTTGAACATAGGAACCAAAATCAATATAACATTTCAGATACAGACAGAGTTAAGCATTATAGAAGTGACAATAAAATCCATTTTAATACTCAAAGCCTTCAGGCCATTCTTTTAAGGTTCAACACAATCTGTGTTGATGATTTAAATAAACAGTAACATGTAAAAGAAAGATGGAGAGTTTGCACTACATGACTAGTCAATCCAACCATCTTAAATGACAGGTGTGTTACAGGACTGGGAAAAGAAACTCAACAAATAAGAAACCAAAAGTTTATTGTTGGTAAAAGCATACCAACATCATACAGTACACCATTCAAAATATCAGATGCACTACAAATTTCAACTAAAAGAGTCACAATTTTGAAATTCAGTGTATGTCTTCTCCTCAAATAATAATAATAATAATGATAATAAAGATGATAATAATAACACTGCTGTCCTCTCAAAGCAGTTTAATTTTCCACAGTAAAGAGCAGAAGCCAATGCACATGCACTAATTGGGAAAGGATTCTAATCCATAATGAAATGTTAGGCAAATAGATCAGTAGTATATCAGTGTGTCATTTTAAATCAACAGATAGTTCACATGAAAAGGAAATTACAAGCAAAAAAATTCTTACAAAATATCAATTTATTTCACTTGTACAGTGCACACATTGACATCAATACACTTTTTTTTCCTTAGTAGTGACAAAAACAGTCACTTGGAAAAGTGCCAGTGTAATGCCCCTTCAAACACACACAGATTGTTTATGCCCTGAGCAGCACTACTTCCAAAGCAGCTGTGACTCAGGAACTTGAGCCAGCTTTGACTAGATATGCATAAAGTAATGGACTATATCAGTGAATGTGCAGTTTCTCAAAGAACCTTGTTAAGACATACAACAGAAACAATTCCAACACTTTCTCTCAGTATTTTATCTTGCACAACGCATCCCTGAAACTGGGTACACCTCTTCTGCATTTAGGCTACAGGTAGCTTTGTGGCGATGGAATAACTATTGTGCAGTGTGCCTTTTGATGTTTCTGTGATTAGGCCAGTAAGAAAATGACAACTTGGGTGGATCAGTAGAGGGAAACAAATGGAACCACTCAAACACGCAGGATGTCAAGAAGTGTAAATCATACAGTCATGAATTTTATCCACCACCCTCTGTTGTGTGGAATGAGCTGTTTTTGTACCTGTTCATGTCATGCTATGCACTAAGAATGATGCAGAAGTAACAGATCCTTGTAATGCCTGTTTATGTGTTGCCTGGAATGTCAGTTGTCTTCATCTTCCTCCAATTCCTGCAGGGACTTAAGGTAATCCCTAGCCAAGATTTTCTTTGGAAGAATGTCTAGGAAAGGAGAAAGAGAATGAGGGTAAAATACAGGTTTTACAAGACATCATTAGCGTCTATCACCCCAAAACGTCTCCTAAATGTGCTTAGCTTTATCTAGCTAAACAGAAACCTCTCACCTGTAAGAAACTGGAAGGTTTCTGTCTCTTCTGCAGTGTTCGCCAGATCACTGTATGACAGAGCGTTTGTGTCTTTGCCAGATCCATTATTGTACGAGGACAGAGCCAAATGTTGAACAAAAAGCTCCTAGGGATTAATACAGCACATGCAATTAATGAAAAAAGCATTTGCATTTACGTCAAATATAAAGCGACTTGCGCTATGTGTAATTACCTTTGGGTGAAACTAAACAGCAGCTAACACTGTCAACAAAAAGCATCGTGCTAACCTGACGACAGGGCGATGCAATAGTAGTTAAAAGTACTACTTACCAGGTTTTTAAAGTTTTATTTAATGGTAATACACTGAGAATATATATTTAATTTTACGATTCAGCTTTAAAGTTTAAGCTTAAACACAATATAAAACAAACTGCCTTCATAACAGCCAGTCTTTAACGTTAGCACCGCCACCAGACTGCAGTTAACGTTAACCTATCCGGCTAAGCGGCTAGTCATCCTGAAGAGAAACAGTCACAAAGTACCGTTGCCTTCGTCGTCAGGAAAAGGGCCTCCTGGTTAATACAGGACACATCCGGAGAGCTCTTCATTATCAGTCTTACGCGTGACATGGGGAGGGAGACGCTTTTGTTGTTAGCTGCCCGCTCAACTTTACTCTCCACGTTTGTTTCAGACATCTTTTCAAAAACAGTTTGCAGTTGCGTGTAACGGAAGTACATCTACAGGTTTTGAAACGCCAGAACAATGACTACATGGGAATTGTAGTTTCTTAGTAGTTTGTCCGCCTTAGTCTTTTTTTCCGAAATGTAATTTTGTGTTTATAAATAAACACACGGTAGTGAGTGCATTCGCCGTAATGCCGCTTAATATATTATTATGGTCTCTGCACGTGATGATATATGAGGAGAAAACATGTATATGCGCAGCCTAGCGTAGCTAATCGGATGCAGAGCGCCCTACCTGAAACTACATTTCCCACAATTCCCATGGTTGTTTTTTTCAATTCACCTGCAAGAAAACAGTGCGGATTTGTAGTTTTTGCAGATCGCTTGCGCAGCCGGTAACAGATGTTCATTTGTCGTTCGGAACTACATTGCCCGTAATGTATTTCCGTTGAATCTGGAGACTGTTTCTTTCTCGGGTTACTCTCGGCGTTTGGTGCGCGGAAGGCAACTTTTTCTCTGGCTTATGGACTGTAATAATGAACATGGCAGGAAAGAGCGCCGGGGCTGCAGGACATGGACAGTGGGCTGGAGCAGGGTCCGCATCTTTAACCTGTAATCCTCGCAAATTTAGCGAGAAAATCGCCCTACATACACAGCGGCAAGCTGAAGACGACGCCGCTTTTCAGGAGGTTATGATGGACATCACTTCCACTAGGGTGAGTCAGTCAGCGCGAGTTAGGAGAGGCCGTAACTGTAGCGAACTTACTTCTGCTGACTTAACGGACTGAAGTGACCAACATTACTTTTCACCAGCACATTTCTGTAACGATCTCAGGTCTAAACACGCAGCGTATTTTTACAAATAGTTTAGCAATACATATCACAGGTTACTTACCCTGAGCCGCTGACAGGGTAAGTCACATCTCCGCGGTCGAAGAACTTGACGAAGCCGTCAGAAGCTGACCTGTCTATCAACAGGCGAACTTGGGCTTGTTAGCAGAGCTGGGCGATATGACAACAGTTTAATATCGCGATACTTCAAGAATTTTTCACGATACGCGATATTTTTTTATTTTTTCGGGCATCTGGTCAGTCGGAACAGAGAAAAAAGAACCAGTAGTGCTAAATTTAAAAAGAAAATACGATCAAAAATTGTGAACACAAGATTTTTATTCGATATTTGGCATATTGTGCTGCACTAAATTCAGTTAATTTTGCTCTCTTTATAATGAAACATGCAGTTGGTCAGTGACGATATCCACTATATGTTCAGAAAAGCATATTGTATTGTACTGTGACGTAATTTATCACAATAACTATACTGTCATACTGCCCTGTTTGGTAGGCATGATTCTTCTCTATTTGGGATAATTTTGGTCTGAAATGAAATGCTAAAGTTGGAAATTAAGAGAAAGCAGTGCTGTTACTCAGAAAACAGAATTAAATTAATAATAAAAAAATAATTCAACGCAAAAAAGGAATTAAGTGTGATGGATTAAAATGTAATTGAAACAAAGATTCCCTTCCTCCCAAATACACTCTAGTAATAGTAAAGCAGTATCATGTACTAACTTAAGCTCATGTCACTCAGTAAACTGAACTAAGTAGTTTATCTGTCCTTACATATAAATACAGAATTAGGAAAGATTTATCCAGAGGTGGGCAGTGGATTAAATGGCCATGAAGGTACTGCTTAATAAAGTTATAATAAGCCTAATTTTAACTCGAATGCTGTTCTCTGTCTTACACAGCGAGGATTTATAAGGTTTACAGAAATAGCTTACCTGATGGCCTCAGGTAAATCTAGATATGAAATTGCATAGACCATGATGTAGTCTCTTTTCAAAATAAAAGCTACTCCTGCTGCTACTATGAAAATATTGTTTGTGCAAATTGTATAAGTTCCTTTGAGCAAAGTGTCAACATACTAGACATTTATTCCGCAGTGTGTACTGATTCTAATGACATCTGTTCCTGTGTTCTACTGTGTCATTGTTTACTTGTTATATGTCGTACATTTAGACATAAAAGTGAATGTAAATGTGCAACATGCGTTTGTTGTAAAGATATATTTCCATAATTGAGATTCAAATTCATGCCACTGCTCTGGATGACACCTTTCCCATCATTGACGCTTCAGATTCAGGCTCAGAGACTTCGACAAGCCCAAAATCTGGCTTCCTACTATGGGGGATCCCTGCCAAATGTCAATCAGATAACAAAATGTTCCGCAGAGGCACAGGTGAGTGCCTCCAAACAGCCCTTTTATTGTTTTCCCAGTTTTCCTCTTCCTTGATGAAGTGACACCTTCTTGTTCTCCTCACTAACTAAGCCCATGTCATGTGGATCCTGAATCCTTCAAAAAGAATTCTGTTCTGTACTATATTCTGGCAAGGAATGAGATCATTGTATGTTATTTTAAATGTTTTGATTTCACATCAAGCAAAACTAACCATGCTTGGCTTGGTGGTACATTGCAACGTGAACATATGTACAAAATATCAAGGGAAAGGTCCAGTTCTTTCTGTAAATATTTGCTCAGTGACACAGTGCAGTTTTGTTATTTTGTCACAGTCATTGCTTAATTTCAAATGAATCAAATGAATTGTGCTGGGGTGCAGAGCAAAAGCAGCTAAAATCTTTATATTGTTCAAATATCTGCTGACTGCACAGTGTATACATTAGATGTGGAGCCTGGAAAATATTTCGCGTTAGTTATATTCACTGGTATGTCATCAGGTTGCTCTCCTTGTTGTTGTTAAGGTTGTTGTTGATGCTCTTTTACCACCTGTTTTTGTTTCTATCTACCTTCCATCACTTTGCATTTTTTCCTATTTGTAGGCCTGTAGGGCCAGTTCTTCTATAACTCAGACTGCCATTCTCTCACCCAGCAGGAGTACCTGAGAGCAGACCATGGACCGAGAGATCACAGACCCATCCCCCCTGGAAGGCCAAGCAGGAGACATGTATCCCTCACAGTAAACCCAGCTAATAATCTGCTTCCGCTGTGTTTATTTACGAAAGTCTAGCACTAATCTCAGTCACTGGTCTACTTCACTATAAGCTAATGTGTTTTCTCACAAATAATTACTAGACACAATCACACATATAATTACAGTCACAACTCAGAGATATTGTAACCTTAACTGCACTTCTTAGGCTGACAGCGCTCCCTATCTCTCCTTCCACTTGTCTCCTCCGTCAGGCCCCAGCTGGAGGAGGTAACATTATGAAGCACATGTTCACCATTTTGCTTTGGCTTTTCTGTACTTATTAATTTGACACTGAAAATGATGTTGCTTTCTCTATTATGTGTGGTTGCATTTGAATGTTTCTTTTTTCTTCCTCTCATTCTGACCATGCCAAAGACATTGGTCCAATAGATCTGTGAATGGAAAAAGTCAGGTAGACCAACTACCAGTGACAACCCTGAGTAGGTGAGTAGAAATCTGTGAGATAGACTACATTGACTGTGTTTCCATGGCAACCACGATAGCCAAGCATAGGTCTTAGATCACCATGCGCAATGTAAACCCAATATAAATGCAATATATCTATGTCTAGGTGATATAATTTCTATGTTATTCCATGCTTTCATCCACCGTTGCAGGACTAACTCCGACTCAGCTCTCCACACCAGCGTGAGGGTTACCTACATCAGAGACTCAAATCCTGCTCAGGTCCAGACAGCTTGCTCCAGACAAAGTGGTGAGTTTGTCTCCTGTGACTCAGTTGTATTTTATCTTAATGCTGGAGTGGAATTACAGTGGTGTTGAATTCGATGTTGTTTTGTAGTTTCACAGTTATCATTATACATAAAGAGAATGATACGTTCAGCTGAAACCAGTGACATCTTTTTTCCATCACAGTGTTTTTTGACATTCTTGAATTTGTTAATCTTTCACGTTTAGCATGCTAACTTCAGCCTAGGGGTGGGCAAATAAGTATCAGTATTTATTACAAAGGGAACATAATTAGGCCTGTTGAATTGGATTTAGTGCAGTGCAGTTTAGAAAACATTGAATAAAAATGATTGTTATTGTGGTTGTATTATCATTATAGTATTTATATATATATATGTGGCACTATAATAATTCTAAGTTCTAATTTGTCTGTTCCAACTTATTAAATCTTCGAAAAACTGAATATCGTGGTGCATATTGTTTATCATGAAAATGTCGTGAAGTATTGTGGTTCAATATTTTTGCCAAATCACCCACTCCCACGTCAATCCAGTGGTTTATTACTTTGCAGTTTCTGAGATAATTAGTAGACTAATTAATTTCTTAGACTAATAGAGGAACAGATGTGTAAGCTGATTTACTAATTACCCATTTAGTTCATATATTTTTCCCTCCAAGGGACCCCACTGTTTCGCCATCCAGTGCCTCTGATTGAAGAAACTGTTCAAGAGGAGGGGAAGCCTCCTAAATCACAGAAGGTAGTGGTTGTCTCATAGATAACTGCCCAAATAAAAAATTGCTGTATATATTACTGTCCTTTTGTTTATTTTATTTTAGTCAAAACAGCCATTAAACCTGTACTATGTAAGATTGTTTTCATTAAGACTGAAAGTTGTTGCATTACTGATTCAGCATTATACTGATGAAGATATGATGACATTAGTAGTTAATTCACTTACATCGGGAGACACCAGGTTTTGACTGAATTCTCTTTGAATACTGTTTCAACGTGCATGTAATCATCAGATTCATCTGCTTTTGTTACAAAATGTTATGTTCATCTGCTATTCTTCCTCATGGTGTGAAAATTACACTTTTTTACCAGAGAAGTCTCCAATTCCCCCAAACGTATATAGTGTATACAAATTATCCATTTTTCAGTGTCAGGAAAAAAGCAGGACACAATTATGAGAAAATTACACCAAAGCCTCCAGCACTTAATATAATAACAATTGTATCAGTATTTTTGTCTACTCTTGTATTTTGTGCACTCTGCTGCCACTTTAGCACTTTAGCACTGACAATGTTCCCCTTCAAAGAGACATTACATTCACACAAGCATCTACCTTACAAAG